AAACTGCTGCTCCTTAATGTTTCGTGATCTAACTTGACACTCCAGCGCAGCGCTGGGTGGGGGGGGGGGGACCCTGGACTGCATTGTCGGGGGTGCTGTCCTTCGGAGGAGATCTCTGCGGTGGGTGGAACAGGTTCAAATCCACCACCCCACCCCCACCATCGGTGTGCGCAAATGGCTGCCGCGTTTCACACACAAAACACAGTCACTCCACTTTATAGTGTATTCTGTGAAGCGCTTAGAAACGTCTCAACATTGTGACGAGGCGCATATCAAAGGCAAGGATTATCATTATTATTCGTATTATTATTTCTTTGGTCCTATGCGATCAAATTGGTGTGGCAACATCGCCCTCCAGAGGTTTCTCTGAGCTTCAGCGCCTCCGCAAGCTGCAAAAACCATCCCCGCCACAAATAATAATAACAACAAAGATATTATTAGGAGTATTATCATTCAAAGTGGCTGAGAGCGAATCCAGGAAACGATCTGACATTTTCAGCCGCGCTTCGTGTGTTTAGAAATGGGTGTTGGAACCAAACGATCAACAGCTTTCACAACGAGACCCTGAAATGCTGGGCAGAAATGTTGAGCAACACTTCAAAGCAGCCCGTGCAACTTTCCCTGTGTCCACACCATGGCGCAAGATACAGGCAGAGGTGGGTGTACAGGGGCGCGTACCCCCCGTGTGGCGTATAAACACCAGGGTGGGGTAGTTGGACCAGACATACTGTGTCCGTGCTGGTAATCTCTGTGTGATTCTGTGTAAAGTTGTGGGGTTCATGCTTCGAACGAGGTGTTTGGATTAACACTAAGTTTTCACACAGCGCTCCAGGACCCTAAACCCCGCGTGAAGGACACTATACTAATGCAAGTTGTTGTTGGTGCTGTTGTTGGACACCAGTTAATTGCATGGAAACATCTTGGGAGTTTGATTGCATCGTGTCGAAATGCCTCAGAGGGCTTCACTGGCACGTAAACCTGCCGCGGCAGATAATTATGGTCAAGCGTAGTGACTGCGCGCAGCCGATTTATGATAGCGCTGCACGGATTGAGGGGTGGCGTGGAGGAACTCTCAATGTGGCTCGACTTTCCCGCCACCATTCCCTCACGCCAACACGCGCGCACACACACGCGCGGGCGCGCGCGCGCCACTCCCTCTCTCGCACACACACGCACACACACACACGCGCCACTCCCTCTCGCACAAACACACACACACACACACACAATACGCAGCTGGTGTCATCTCATGGCTGTTAGCCCCTGCCCCCTTGGCTTCTTCCACCTTGCGCAGGTATCTACTTCGACCACCAGGTGGCGACACCGCCTGAGTAATCCTTCGGCAGCTTCCCATTTAATACTCTCTCCCGGTGTCTTGGGTGACAATCCTCCAGAGATAAAATTGGTCGCTCAGTTCCCGGCTGTCCGTGGGATGTGGGTTTTTCCGTGGTGCACACATCCCAATATTCGTCCTGTTTACTCCGCGTCGAATGAGGGGTTTATATTTACTTACTTTGATGCTGCAGGTTTGCCCCAGCTCCGACTTGGCACCGGTCATATCAAGAGGTACGGCCCCAACCGAGACGATTGATCCGAATAATAAGAATAATCCTTGCATTTGATGCAGCGCCTTCTCACGTCTTTGCGACGCCTCAAAGCGCTTCGCGGGCTGTACTGTAAAGTGAATTGACTGTGTATTTTGTGGGCGAAACACAGCAGCCAATTGCACGCAGTAATGTCCCATAAACAGTCGTGGACTGAGTTCCCGCATTATTCTAATTTATTTTGAAGGAATTATTACCCCGGAAAAGCCATCCAACAATCAACTATCAACCGGGTTCCTACTTACTGCTTGGTAAACAGAGGCGTGTGGAGTCTCCCTTATGTGAGTTTACCTGTAATATGGAACCCAGTCTGAACCTAAGAGCCTCATGACTGTCTCAGTACATCCCGCGTCAGTCACAGAGGGCCGGGGTAGTTTAAAGTTTGGGAATCGCAGACAATTGTCAACCATTTAAGTGAATCCCTGTGGTTTATATACACGCGACTTACATATGTAAGTCTCTTTGACCGTGCCTTCAGCTCCCTGCTCAACTCTCTACCCCCTCCTCGACCCCTCCCTTCCCTCCCCTCACCCTGACCATTTCCCCCCTCCTCGCTCCCTCCCTTCCCTCCCCTCACCCTGACCATTTCCCCCCCCAATGCTCGGGTCCTGACCCAACTGTCCAGCGCTTTGGGACGTCCTCCCGACGTGAAGGGCGCTCTATAAATGGAATCTTGTTGTTGTTGTTGTTGTTGTATTTCTCTGTCAGTGCAGCTCCCCAAGAGAGGTTCCATGCAAACGAATAGATCCCTGTTATGTCCATTTCATATCGACAACTGCAGCAATACAAGAGAAGCTTGGCCATTAGCAAATCTTCTCAACTCCAGCTGACCCAACTTTCCTTGTCTTTCTCTATTCGGTGTTTTCAGAAGAAACTCGAAGCAGACATGAAGGAGAAGGGAATAGAGATAGAAGGGAAATAGAATATTATGGTCATCGCACACCCTCCCCTTCTCACTCCCTCCCTAATCCACTCTCATTGGGGTTGGAAACAAAACTCAGAGCGTTGTCTCTTACATGGATTCGCTCGTCCAATTAAGCAGGTGGGAGCTTTCCTTCTCTCTCTGGAGGTGAGGCGATTGGGAAGGGGGACCTGATAGAAAGGGGTTTAAGATTATGAAAGGATTTGACTCGTTGGTGAGTTTCCACTTGTTGGTGAGTGTAAATACAGGATAGGTAGCGGGATACCTACAACAACAACGAAAACAACAACAACTTGCATTTATATATATATCGCCCTCCACCCAGGTAGCGTCCCAGAGCACTTGACAGCGGCCCTACGTCAAATGCAAGGATTTAGTTTTATTATTACTATTATTATGAAAATGATATTTAGTGCCTTCATTTCTTTTATCCGAATTGCAGGGCGATTATTATTAGTATTCCGCATATTCTGCGAAGCGCTTGGAGACGTCTCAACGACACGATAAGGCGCTATTGTCCAACGCAAGGGTGATTGCTGTTAATTATTACACTTCATCCCTGTTATAAAAAAATACGCACTCGGTGAAGACAAGACAGCGAAACGCTGGCGAGTTCGCCCCGGGGCACCTTCCTCTGCGAATTGGAATCGACTTCACAAAGCCAAGGACTTTCAACCGTTCAATCACTTTGAGTGAAGAAATCAGCTCATGATGATACTTTGCACCTCTTTCTCAGGTGAACCTGTGTGTGAGAGGAGGGTTTGCCTCGATCTGCATTGATAATCTGCTCGTTTGGCTTTACTTCCCAAACCCCTCGTTTCAAACTGGTAACTGAAACCCCACACTCGAAAATAAAATAAAATAAAATAAAATAAAAGAACATTTTTTTCTGCAAAAGGGTCGAGTGAAAGAAAGACGAGGTATACCCATTGCTGAATGGTCTGTGCAAAACTCGGTTCATTTACAAACGCATTGAATCTACTTCAGTGTTGAAAGTTTCTGGTCAGAAATTTTAAATATTGAATGTTATTGATTTCAAACTCCAAATACTGAGACTATCGTGATATTAAAATATAATGGATATAAGTGCTAAATACTTTGATTTAGACTGTAAATGCCACGAATATCTCCCAAGTTGGCTTAAAGGATTTTTTTTTATAAGCTGTGCCTTAGTTTTAGTATCGTTTAAAATGTTTTTTAAAAAAAGGATAAGTTATATATGATCGAAATACAGATCCCTCTCTTTCTTTCCTTCTTTCTTTCTCTCTCTCTCTTTTTCTCCCTTTCTCTTTCTCTCTCTCTCTCTCTCTCTCTCTCTACCGTTCTCTTTAAACAATTTCCTTTATCAGTTCAGCGAACAAAATCCTTCCAGAGATACGTACACTTTCTGGGATGTCAATCGTCCTCGAAAGATTCTTTTAAAAACACATTAATGTCTAAAATAAAACAATATTTAACTTTCCCGTGCTTGGACCTTCACATAGCTATGTGATTTATATATATTATTATTATTATTATTATTATATTATATATATAGAGAGAGAGAGAGAGATCCAAGTTCATATCTCTCAATAATCATCGTAGAGAAACTCATTAAAAATTCGTGGATGTGTTAAAATAAAATATATTTAACTATGATTTGCTTGACCCTCAACACTGCTATAACACACACACATATATATTAATATATATATATATAGAGTGACCAAAAAAAATCATGATACCATTGCAATGTCTAATAAGTCTTAAATAAATGATGATGGGGGGGTGGGGGGGGTGGATAATAGGGCAGTTATCACGACTTTTTGTCACCCTATATATAGTGTGTGTATATATATATATATATTATAGCAATGTTGATATTATATATATATAGAGAGAGAGAGAGACCCGAGTTCAGATCTCGCAATAACCCAAGAAATCAGATCCAGGGGCCAATGTAAATGAGTTGCTTTCTCTCTGTGAAATTGGGTTGGTTTGAGGATGTGTTGGTGAGGCTTTGGGGAATGGATGTGGAGGGGGGGGGGGTGGGGGGAGAGAGTGGGGGTGGGGGGGGGGGGGGGGGAGGGGGGGAGGAGGAGGAGGTGGGAGGGGGAGGAATGAAGGAAGGAATGAATGAATGGTCCCTATAACAAATACGTGAGGAAGGAAATGGGGCAAGAGTCAGAAGGTGGAGTTACCTTTGGCTCATCACATCAGTACTTATTGGAATGCAAATCGCAGTGACTGAGGCCTTTGGGGCTCAGTTGGATGTACAGTTGGTTCATTTAAAGCAGAGAGACAGGGAGTGTGTGTGAGAGAGAGAGAGAGAGAGAGAGGGGGGGGGACAAGAGACAGAGGAACAACCATCATCATCACTCACTCACTCACTCACCATCATGTGCTGGAGGCAGAGGAGGGCATGAGGAGACCAGCCAGACGGATGCCATTGCCAGGAGGCAGCCCCAGTATGCACACAGCCCCTCACCCCAGTCATGTATGTGGGTTATATGTTGGATAAGGAAGGAAGTATGTACCCCACACCCGTCCGGCGCCCAAACATCAACGTCTCCTCCACACAGAACTTCGCCTCTGGTCCTCAGTACTCGGAATACTCGGGGTATCATGTGCCCGCGATGGAGAGCCACCCCCAGCCCACCCCCATGGCCTGGAACCCACCCTATGGTCCACCCAGAGAGGACTGGGGACCCTATGGACTGGGTCCGGCCAACCCGGTCCCCGTCCAGATCAGTCACTCCACTTCTCCAGGGCAGATGCCTTACGGCTCCCCCGACTACAGCTCTCTGAACCCCCCCGGGCAAGGGGGGCTCCCACCCCCGGACCCCCACCAAACCCCGGGCCAACCCTCGCCCAACGGGCAGAGGCGCAACCCTTACGAATGGATGAAGAAATCGTCGCAAATTTCCGCCGCGGGTAAGTGAGCGAAGAAGGGTTTCTCGTTGCGAGAACACTTTTTTAACGCGGTTTTGCTTTCGTTAACTTCCCACGAACTGCTCCCGTGTGTTGTGTTGTGTTGTGTTGTGTTGTGTTGTGTGTGTGTTGTGTTGTGTGTGTGTGTGTGTTGTGTGCTGTTTGCACCAGGGAAAGCGCAGCTAACATGCGGCTCTGTCGTTAATCCGTCGTTGCGAAAGTTCCTTTTCTTTCCCTCTTTCCTTCTAAAAAAAAACACTTCGAGAGTTTCAATCGAAAGCGACCAAAGTTCGTCTCATTTATTTGTTCGTTCGTTCGTTCGTTTCGTTCATTCGTTCGACGCGATCGTTTTAACCCATCGAATACGTTACGAACTGGCGCATGTTGCGCAGGTCCGCTTCCGCGGGAAGGAATAATGCGCCACTACTTCGTAACAGGATTCGATGTGTCCAGTAAACGTGTGCCCTCGGGTTCCACCTCCAGACCTTAATAACCTGTTCTCTCCCCTTCTGGAGAGACACTTTTCTAAAATAAAATCACTGTCCCCTTTCTCTCCCCCTCTCAAAAAAAAACAATCCAAATTATTCATAAAGTCGGAATGAATTGTGATGTTATATACATATACAGATATATATATGTGTGTGTGTGTGTTTGTGTGATTATATATATATATTTATATATATATTTTATATTTTATATTTATATATATATATATATACAGAGAGAGAGAGAGAGAGAGAGAGCTACAAGTGACCAAAAACTTGTGATACCATTACAATGTTTAATAAGTCTTAAAGATATAATTTTTTAAAAGATAATAGAGTAACTTCACGACTTTTTGGTCACCCCGTGTGAGTGTGTACATATATATATTATATGTATATGTATATATATATATATTATATGTATATCTATATATATATCACACAGCGACTTTCTTTCTGACCAGTCGATTCGCAACTTTATTTTTACGAGTTGTGTTTTAACGATATCACTGTAATCGTTACTCACCGACCTCTCCAACCGCCCAATTGCTTAAAAAAAAACTTGTTCAAAAAATATAGGTTTTGATGTTAGGAATTTCTCCCTCTCCTCCCCCCCCCCAAAAAAAAATAATAATAATAATAAATAGTGATTTTTTTCCAATCCTCACACACACACACACACACACACACACACAGTTGTCCTCTCTCGAGGTAATTAAGAGATTGTTGGGAAAAGTTAGGGGAAAAGTTAGCAGATGCCATTCTCACAACTCCCAGTTTGAAAGGACAATTCAACACGTTTCCCACAGAAAAAAAATCTGTCTGAAAAATGCGCCACTTCAGAAAGGATTCGATGCGATAATTGTATAAAAAGGGAGAGTTTCAGACAAATTCCTCGTGGAATTTTGAAATATTTCCAAATAGCTCCCAATTTGATATCTCAGGCGTTTCCTTTCTAACTAAAAACCTGTTTTTTTCTGTTTTGTTTTCGTTCGTTCCCCAAAGTTGGGATCAGACGCATAGAAATGCGACCAATACTTTTTCTTCTGTACAACGATGGCATTCGCTCGAACGTTTCTCGCATTATAACACAATAATAATCTCTGCATTTGGTACAGCGCCTTATCGCGTCTTCGAGACGTCTCAAAGCGCTTCACGGAATACACTGTAAAATGAATTGACTGTATATTTTGTGGGCGAAACGCGGGAGGGAACCCAATTGCGCACATCAGTGTCCAACAAACAGTCAAGGATTGAGAGGCCAAATTATTATTATTATTTTTTGAAGGGATCGTCACAGGGCAGATCTTAATTTTAACTCTTACCCCGTGAAAAGATCCTTGAAGCGCGGGAATTGGTTTAGAAAATTTACCTTTTCCCTCTTGACTTTTGCTCGGACTTATCTTTGCTCGATTCAAAGAATTCGTTTGACCTTTTTCTTTTGCAGATTAAGTTGAATTTGACACTGAAAGGCAAAATAAGTTAAAAGGGGCTTTTCAACAGGTTGAGACAGCCTAAAGTTTCCTGAATTTACAACATCTTTTAGGGTTTGGGTTCGATTCCCGGGGCAGGGCAAAACCTCAGCCAAGTTTCCTTACTCCACACGTCTCTGTTTACGCAGCAGTAAGGAGGGACCCGGTTGTTAGTCGATTGACCGATCCCTTTTCCGGGGAGGGGACGGGCGGGCGGGGGGGGGGGTGGGGGTGGTGGTAAATAGGTAAATAATCCCTTCTCCCCCCAAAAATTGTGTTCGCTCGCTCCGCGACTGTTCGCGGGGACGCAGCCGCGCGCGATTCGCCGCCGCGCTTCACCCGCAAAATACTCTCGATCCGCTTTGCGGTGTATGGCGTGAGGCGCTTCGAGACGTCTCAACCGCTCGACGAGGGCTCCGTGTCAAACGCAAGGAATATTATACAGTAATAGTATTATTGCCAACATAGATATTGCCTATATATTTTATATATATATTGCTATATATTATATATATATATATATATATATATAATTACCTATATATATTGCTGGTGCCACACTCCCAGGAGAGAATGGCTGAAGCCCTACCCTCTCTCTCTCCCAGTATGTAATGCTAATTTCCCATCCTGTAAAGCAATCTGGATGTGAGGTCTGGGTTTCTTTACCACTACATTGTGATCTGGTCACATTCAAGCAGTTTGCTCTTTCAATGTGTGTGTGTGTCTTGCTTCTTTTTTGGGGGGGGGGAGGGAGTGAAAGGGGCTTTGATATGCGTCTGACCCTACTCTTCCTCAGTCCTTATTATCTGAGAGCCTTTATATTACCGGAAAGGGGTGACGATTTTCACAATAAATAATGAATCTTGCTCCCTCGCCACATTGTCTTGGCTGGAGATACCCCACTGCATTTTATGACTGGGGCGAATAATGCGACTGCGGATGGTCAGGTTATAAATTCGAGGTCATATTTGCATAGTGGGTTGATATGACCTGTTGCATTTTAACCCTTTACCTCACCTCTCCTTCCCTCCCCCCCATCCCCAAGTCCAGGGCAGGTCCCAATTATTTTCCAAATGGAAATATCTGTGTGGTTTTACAAGTGGGGAGATTTATAAAAATCTGATTATAATATTCTTACAGAGAGAGAGAGAGAGAGAGAGAGACACAGAGAGAGAGACTCCTACACAGAGAGATTCGTTCTCTCTCTCTCTCTATATATATATATATATATATCTATGTGGGAAATATTATAAAATCTGATAGGTTAGTCAGAGCAAATATACATTGCACTTGTCATCTATTTCGATCGCAAAAAAAACCCCCAAACCTTTCCAGTGAGGAAAACTCCTGTTTAAAATGCACTTAAAAATTGAGTTGCTTGGGAGGTAAGTTGTGAAAGGCACCGTGTAAATTAAAATTGCAGTATTATAAACACCAAAAAATATACAATAAAACGTGAATCCCCTCTCCTCCCCAACCCATCCCATCCCCAAACCCTTAAGGGTGCTTTCCAAATCCAAAAGCTCACGTTGCATTTCATTGCATTGCATTGCATTGGGTGTGGAAATCCATTTGCAATTTTCGTTGTGGTTTTTTTTAGGGGACCTGCAACCACCCCCCCCCCCCCCCAAAAAAAAACAAAAAAAACATCCCAAGGGCCCTTTTAAGATGAAAGCAAACGCCGCCATTTGTTTATGCAAAGTAAAACCAAACAGATTGATGTAGGGACCCACTCCCAGAGAGCCAACCCTTTGTGAGCTGCCCTTGTCTCGCTTTTGTGTGGAGTGTGTTGCCTTTCATCCTCTGAATACAAGTGCTGTTAACTCATCAAAGCTGTTGCCTTCATCCCACAACCAGTGCGATTGATGGGTGGAAACCAGGTGCAAAATATTAGCATCTTTAACCCCCCCCCCCCCCCCGACCCCCACCCTCACCCCCTCACCCCCCCAAGCCCTTGTGTTTTTTTGGGAGGGGGTAGATTTGTCCCCCTCTCCCTTCCTCTCTCTCTCTCTCTCTGCCCCTTTCCTTGGGCAATTTGAATTCATTTCCAATGGAAATATTGCACAGATATGTCTCTTAAACGTTAGGAAAGCAACACATCATACATCATAAAATAGTTACTATTTAAAGAGCAAACAGCAAACCTCGCCCTGTGTCAGGTTGAATGGTTTTTGAGTGCAACCTCCCCCCCCCCCCCCTCCCCACCCAGGAACTGAGCCACATTTGGAGAGTGTTGGTACAGGGGCTGAGTGTTGGGAGGATGTGGTCCTGTTGTAGACACAAATAGGTAAACGTCTCAAAAAAAAGAGAGAGCTGGAGAAAAGTTGTCCTTGGGAAAACAGACACGTTGCCTAACCTGTTACTTTTCACACTCAGCTACTCGTTTTTTTTTATTTGTGGGGGAGAGGAGAATTTCCTGCTCTTTGCTCTATGTTATTCTGGTGGGAAAACAAACACTTACTATAAAAAGCACCCACGAGTAACAGGGCTGTGTTGGACTCAGTCAGCCTGAGGCGTTGGGTGGAGTTTGTATAAACTGACTGGGAACAGACAGATTCTGTAAGAATCCAGGGATTTTTGCAAACAATAAAATTATGTTGATAGACCAACAATTCCTGTTGGTCTATCAATATAATTCAGTTCTGATACTGTTGTACAGTCAATAATAATAATAATAATAATAATATTCCTTGCATTTTTTTATACAGCACCTTATCAGGTCGTTGAGATGCCTCGCAAAGCGCTTCACAGAATGTACTGTAGAGTAAATTGACTGACTGTATTTTGTGGGCGAAATGGGAAAAAAAAGTGAAAATAAAATACGCGTGCTTCAAAGGGGGTGAATTTTGCGATTTGTATAGTTAATTATTTCACTTTTTTTTTTGCTCTTCGCTCTTTGATAAGTTTTGTTTATCTTGTCCTTCAGATGAGACATTAAACCCAGGCTCAGTCTTGTTGCTGTTCAGGTGGATGTTAAAGATTCCAGGTTACTAATTTGCTGGAGAGAAGGGAGTTTCTCCAGGTGAACTGTCCAATAGTCCACCATCCATATAAACTCCCTTTAACAGCAATTCAGTTTACAAAAACGATCAGGGGGCAGCACTATCAATTTTAAACAATCATAATTAAAAGGCAGGCGCTCGAGAGAGAATTACGATGGAAATTTAAACTATAATTTCCATGGACTTGAATGTTGTGTCAAACTAGTTTGGCTTGTTTAATGTCCTCTTACCATCGATGACTTTCAGTCATTCTGTCTCACTCTCTCCCCACCTTAAGATCTATCTTTTCATAAGCGTTTACAGTGTAAATTGTTGCCATAACTCTCTCTCGATCGCCTCTTAATTATAATTTTTTAATCAGGTAATTGATAGTGCCTTGGGACGTCCTCCCAATATGAAAGGCGCTATACAAATGTAAACTGTTATTGTTGTTGTTGTTTTCAACCGCACTTTCAGCACCTTACTTAACCCCCAGCCTGTGCTCCCAGCTACCAGTGTGAAGTGCTTTGAGACAACCCTCTGTGTGAAAGTTGCTGTATAAATGTAAATTGTAATTTTGGCTATGCGATTATTAGTTCAGTAGCTTGTGATGCTAAGCTCCTTTTAACCCGACTACTGTTTTACAGGGAAAACCAGGACAAAAGACAAATACAGGGTAGTTTACACTGACCACCAAAGGCTGGAGCTGGAGAAGGAATTTCACTACAACAGATATATTACAATCAAGAGGAAATCAGAACTGGCTACCATCCTGGGCCTCTCAGAAAGACAGGTTGGTTAAAGCTGAAATACCCTGATAAAGTGTTGGGGCATTATCTGCCTCAAGCGTTGGCAATGTCAGTGTTCCTCACCTTGCCCCTGTCCCTCAGATATCTTCAATTACCTTTAAAATTCTAACGTTCCAATTCTTGCTTTTAATTTCGTAACGGATTTGAGGTTTGCATTTCAAAGCGTCGTGGTTTTCCTGCGCCGAAACCGTGACGGAATGAATTGCCAGGATTCGTTGCCGTCAGCGTAAGACGGATCTGAGCTGCCATAAAACAAATGGCGGGTTGACTTGAGGGGGGGATTTTTGGCCAGGACACGGGTAGAAGCAGAGGCACGGGATCTTGATTATTCTTGCCAGTTCTTATTTGTTCAGTCCTTCGCCCTCTTTTGTTCTCAGTTTCAAAGCTTTTTCATCTGACCCGTGGCCCGTGCTTTTGTGTCCCTCCCAGGTGAAGATTTGGTTCCAGAATCGAAGGGCGAAAGAACGGAAAATAACCAAGAAACAGATGGCTCAGTCTGAGGCCTGCCCGCCTCAGCACGGGCCCGTTTCGGGAAGTCCCGAGGAAATCGCAGCCCAAATGATGGTCGGGAATCAGATCCCCGGAGGGCAGTCCGTTGGGAACATGCCACAAGTGACTGTCACCCTCTGAGCCGGGCGGAAACCAGGAGCGGCCGAAACAGAAGCTCGGATTGATGTACATAGTGCTCGTGTTGGATGGAAAAGGCCATCCAATTTATTTACACTCACAGGCAATTGCAAATTGGACTGATCTTCAGGATCTGCAAATAGTAACGTCACGTGTTACGAAAGGACCTTTTTGTTTCACGGATGAAAATCTACCGCTGAGAAAATTAGTTATTTGGATCTCTTTCTTTGTTGGAAAAACAACGATCTTTGCATCGTTCCTGTTACCCAGCCTATTACATAAATATATATAAAGATACTCTGTGCCTAGTCCATGGCGGTGGGGGTAGGGGTTGGTTGGGAGGATAAGAGCGATCATGGATGGATGAGAAAAGTGGAAAATACAAATTTGGCCCCCCCAAAAAATCCCAAACATTCAAAATGTTTGAAGAAGGAGATTCTGTAAACAAATGAATGCATTATCTTGTGTGCTCTTTACTGTATTGTTTGAGCTGACCTGGTGCAGGGTAAATTATGTGAGTGTATCCCATGTTAATCCAATGTGAAGGGTGCTTTAAAAATTGCAGGTAGTTGTCAGTCAAGCCAGTCACAGTGCCTTTCCTGTGGTGTGTTTTAGCATAAATAGTCCCCGGTTTCAAGCGACGCAATTCCTTATTTTTCCCCCTAAATGTATATAAAAGAAAACTGCCTGAAGCGGTCGTCGGATTCAATCTTTGTTTTACCCGATTCTTGTTAATAAAACGGTGCGTTGGGCTGATTCACGCCTGTGCTTGCTTTCGCTTCGAATAGGCTACAGCACATCAGGGAGTTGGCATCGATTATTTTTTAACTTAATCCACGATTTCCTAGGTTGATTGACTGTACGTGCAGCGAAATAAGGTTGGAGCATTTCTTGATTGCCCTCTCTCTTCTCCCCTCCCCTCCCCTCCCCTCCCCTCCCGCGCCCCCGAAACGAAAAATTGAGGTGCAAAAGACTTCTCGCAAATCCCGACGAGGACGTCACCAGATAATCGCGAGCCCGTCGGTGATCCGAGCTTAAGGTGTCCGTGTGACACTGACAATGGTCTGGGAAGGAGTTGCCTATCTTGAGACCGTCCCCCTGTCGTGTGTTGTTGAAGGGTTCCTGCGGGTTGCCGAGTTACGGCACTGGGAACTTATCAGCTTCAAAGAGTCGGGGCTGAATTATATTTGCACAGAGGAGGCGGTGCAAAGGTCGAGGAGAGCGAGTGCACTATCGTCATAAAATGTGGTCGCGGTGGAGCTTTAAGGAGTATCTGCTTTGGAGAGAACATTCTCTCCTCCTGGGCTCAGATTTAGATTGCGTGCGTCCCGAGAATTAATGGGACATCGCCTAGAAAATACACAGTCGCAACACTTTACAGTAAAGCGCTACGAGGTGTCTTGATGGCACTGTGTCAGACGCGAGGATTATTATTTATTGAGAAATCCCTTCATAAACTGTTGCTTATTAACGCCAGTGTTTTGTAACACGTGTCCCAGCCTCTGCCCTATGCGCAAGTGTTCACTCTGACCTGCTGCCTGTTGTTGTGAGAGACTGAAATGACAAGACTTCACTGGTGTACTGAGTTGAGGTGGATTCCAAATCTGTATTGGATGTTGCGTGCAGGTTGTTTGTACAGATGCTGCCTCGAACCTACACAAGGTTACGCATGCATCTACCATCCATTATTCTATTGAATGGACAGGATGGGATTGTAACATGTTCAATTACTGAACCGAATAGGATGAAAGGACAAAGATTGCAAACTATCATTTGTATTTTTTTTTTACGCAGTACAAACAGCCTGTTTGGTGTGTTTGTGTGTGGGGAAAGTGAGGATGGCGGAAGTTAGCAGATGGGTTGTTGATGGTTATTCTGTAAGAAAAAGGAAAATGAACTTGCTGTGATTTCTGATCACTGCCTTATCTATCTTTGATCTGTTTATTGACTGGAACTCTTTTAAGTGTGTCATCACCTGTCTCTTGAGCAGGAAAGTGCGTTACGTGACTGACCAGTGAATGTATTCCAAAAACAAACTTGTCTTTAACGGCTTGGTAAATGTAACAAACTGTGAACTAACTTGGGTTGAATGGAAATAAACCTTTGACACGTCGCTGTTAAGTTTATAAGTTCGGAAAAACAAGTGTCCAACTCAGTGTTTAACTTGTATTGGGGGCGTGCTGAAATATCTTGTGAAATACTTTATTGAGTAAATTCAAAGGGTTGGATTTGTTGTTTTTTTTATTTACTTTTCAATGTTATTCTTCCTGTTTGAAGTAAAGTCTGAAGAAGGCATCACAAAGACGGATTGGTCGATTGCTTTATGTCTTTTTTTAATCAAAGGTCACTCCAAAGAATATAAAAGTTAATGATAAACCCTTGAATCAACGGACCCAAGTGAGCTGCTGAACTGATGTCCCTGATCCTGTAGGGGTCAATATTCTACAAGAGGTTTTAGTGTGTCTTGAAGTGCATCTTAAATATTGTACGATAGTTCGGCTTAGCCTCAAGCATTCTTGCTTCTGGGTCAAAAGGTTGTGGTTTTAAACCCACAACCTTTTGACCCAGAGCTCGCTGCAGTACTGGGGAAGCAACATGTTGTCCAAGCTACCGTTCTTCAGATGAAATGTTAAACTGTGGTCCATCTGCCTGCTCAAGTAGCCTTCAATGTGNCCCCCCCCCCCATTACCATTTGGACAGAGAAGCGAGTTTTTCCAGGCGCCCCGGCCAACAGTCCTGATGAATCGGTCATTCACCTCGAGGGTTGTCGATGGGACCTCACTGTGTTTACCGACAAATATACAGTCACTGCACTTGACAGCAATTACCTGTGAAGAGCTTTGAGTGTCGTAGGTTTCAATGTTATAGATGCTACGTCAAATGCAAGGGTTATTATAGTAATATTATTAACATCAGTTGCAAGGGTAAGCATCCTTAATAAAACTACAAATAAAATAGCTCTTTTTGAAGGCAAACATGGTAGGTATTCGCTGCCAGCAAGACACAAAGCCTCATATGAGGTGATCGATCAATTTAGTTGGAAGATTGTTGGCCAGTGAATCTGGAGGAACTCTCTTCTCTTTTCAAGTCGTGCTTTTGGGACCTTTAATGTCCAGCTGAATAGGATGTTTGGTTTAAACTCTCATCTGAAGGGCAGCCTCCCAGTCTAACCTGTGATGTGAGCTCAAACTCTCGACGTGGGGCTTGGAACACACAACCTTCTGACCCCAAGATGAGAGAGAGCTACCAACAGCGCCAGGCTGACACCTCTAAGATTCACACCCTCTTCTGAACTCCATTCCACTCCACTGGAGAAAAGAGAGAGAGAGTGAGACACACACACACACACACACACATATACACACGCGCTGCAACTAATGGTGACTGAGAGCACGATCTAGCAGCTAACGCAAATCAAACAGCCCTTGCACTCTGCTAGGAAATTATAGCATCTGCTCTGGTGACTTCGAAATGGGGTCTAAGTGAGAGAAAATATTTTTTCACTGGTGATGCCTTTTCAGTATGCTGGTTAGTTTCACAAGGTGTCGCGATCACAGACCTCCATTGAGAGGGGAAAGGGAGGCGGGTGATTCTCAAGCTGTTGGGAGTCAGTGTAAGTCTTTTCATCAAGTCTTTTCATCAGGCGGGAAACAAAGAGACGAGAGAGGCTTACTTCACAAGCTGGTTAGGTTCACGTGGGTTCCCCTCCATCAGGTGACAAATAGAAGGAAACAGCATATATATCTCACACGGAAAGGACCCAAAGCTTGTGAAAAAAACAGGTTCCTGTATAGTTTCTGACATTGTCAAGTCAAAACCCTTTCACTGTATTCTCATCAAACAGAATGCATCTGTCTCTCGAGAACAACATCCACATGAATTTATACAGCATCCTTCACACAGGATTACATCCCAGAACACTTGGGTGTCATCCCAGGGCTATTTGAATTACAGAAATCAGAAGCATGCTGACTAAACAATTTATTATTATGATTATTATTATAATAATTGCGCACAGCAGCGTCCCACAAACCGTCGTAGATTGAAAATGACCAATTTATTATTGTTTTGTTTTTTTTGGAGGGATTATTATTATGAACCACCATAACAATTTAAATACTTTATTAAGATATTAACTAAACTTCCCAAGTGTCATTCCTCCCAAAACAGACAGCTTTCGAAAACATTTCGCTGTTAAAACCTTGCATGGCTGTTTCCAAAAATTGCACTGACGCCACTTGTATTAAATCACACAGTGTTTGTCAAAGTAACTTCCCGCATTACTGATTACCGGTGGGTAAAAAATTAAGAACCCTACCATTCAACACAGCTGCTATCATGTCATGTCAGGAGGTCATCTGGAAGCTCTTCACTGTGAAGTGCAGTGACTGTGTATTTTTGTAGGTGAACATAGCGTACGGTAATGCCCTGAAAACAGCCAAGAAGTAAGTGAATGATCCAATGTTTATGCGGGCGGGGACACTGGGAGAGAGGAACTCTGAAACATCCTCTTCTCTTGTTTGAGCAGCGCCGTGGAGAATTTTGAATGTCCTCTTGAACGCGACAGTGTCAGGGAGCTCGGTTTAAAAATATATATTTTCTTATATAATATATGTGCGGTGGGGGGGGGGGGGGGCGGGGAAGAAACAGCTTTGGGTGGGCGTGGGGGTAGGTGTCTCGTCTTCTCAAGAAAAGCCAATGTAAACCTGCCGAACGTTTGCTTCTCTATTTGTTCCTCCTTTCCTTTGGAGAACTTTTTCTTTCCCAAGTTTCGGGGGGAAAAAAAACACTGAAGTTAAAACTGGCCCATTAGAAATATAGAAAACAGGAGGAGGCCGTTCACTCAGTCATTCATTCATTCACTCATTCATTCATTCATTCACTTATTCATTCATTCATTTATTCAGCCCCTTGAGCCTGTTCCGCCATTCTGTACGAACACGGCCGATCTGTCCCTCAAATCCAATTCCCTGCCCTTTGCCCCATGTCCCTTAATCCCCTGACCTGACAAACGTCTATCCACCTCAGCCTTGATCACTATTATTATTATTATTATTATTATTGAAGACGTGAACGGATGTAGCCGTAATCCACAGCCTTTTGGGGGAAGAGAGTTCCAGATTCCCACTCCCCCAACGGAAAACCTGATTTCGCTCCTGAACAGCCTCGACGTCACTTGAGGACTATGCCCCCACCCCCCCCCCACCACCCCACCCCCCTCATCAAAGGAGACAGTTTCTCTGGATCTACCCCTTTATTATCATGATGTTTATCCATTCGGCTGTCAGCTGCCCACAGTGGGGGGGTGGGGGTGAGGCTGGAGGGACCATCCAGACATTGGGCTACTTTGTGGGGCGACTTTGGGCTACGAGCGCGGGGTGGGGGAGTGGGAGGGGTTTCCTGGACACACCCCCCGCTGTGCGCCTGCGCGCCCGCTCGGCCCCGCCCCCTCCCCCCCACCCGCCCGCCCGCCCGCTCCCAACATGGCCGACTTCGACACCATCTCGGAGCTGGACGAGGAGGACGAGCGGGTGGTGATGGACGAGGACCTGCTCCAGCACATGACCGACTCGGTGGTGATTCGAGGGGCCGGACACATCACGGTGTAAGTTGCTCCCCCTCCCGGTGTGTGTGATGGCGGCGGCGGCTCCGTCCCTCCTCCCTCCCTCCCGGGGGCTGTGACTGTTTCCAACAAGGCCTCAAGCCGAGCCTCGGCCTTTCCTGGGCCGCGGCCCGGGCGAGGGGCAGCCGTAGCCGGGCGGCGGGGGTGGGGGGGAGTGGGGGGAATGGGGGGGGCGGTTGGTTCGAAGCCGCTCCGAGTGATGATGGACGGCTCTCGACGTTGACGTCGTCGCGTCTGGGAAGGTCCTCCCGAGGCGAAAGGGGGCGCTGCGTAAACGCAATGGTTATTGTTATTAACGATGATAATGATGATTATTATTATGATGATTCATGATAATTAACGAGCCCAGGAGTCCTGCAGCTCAGTGAGTGAGTGAGAGCGAGAGGGCGAGAGAGAGAGCGCGAGAGGGAGAGAGGGGGAGAGGGAGAGGAACCGGGTTCGATTCCCGGCGGGTCGAGGGACAAACCCCAGGCAGGTCTCCTTCCTCCGCGCGCGCACAACGGGCGCACGATAATAATCCCTCGAAAAAAGAAAGAAAAAAAAATAATAATAATAATAAGTTGGTCGCTTCGATCCACGGCTGTTGGCGGCGGCGGCGCCCGCGGGCAGTTGGCCGCCGGGTTACGTACAAGCCCGTGCGCTTCACGGTACGTCCTGTGAAGCGCTTTTGAGACGTCCTCGGGCGGCGTGAAGAGGCGCCAGATCAAGATGCGAGGATTATTATTTATTACGGGTGCTTTGCAAATGCGATTCGGTGTGGACGAGGTTGACGGCGGCCGCCCTGCTTCAAAGGAATAAACGATCGGCGCTTGGGTTTCATCCATTAGTTTGGTTTGTTTACTTATAGATTGATAGATAGATAGATTTTTCTTGTCTTGTATTCTATATATTTTTATATTTTTTCCCACCTTCACTTGGCCCTCACTCTTCCTGAATCCAAGCCCCAGCTTGGGCGCAAACCCTCAACTGTCCAGTGCCTTGGGACGTCCTGTTGACGTGAAAGGTGCTCTATATATATATATATATATATATAATACACAGTATAAATGCAATTTGTTGTTTAACATCGCCAGTGTTTGGGTCAGACCAAAAACCTTTGTTTTCAGGAGGCTTTACTTAAAGGTTAAAGCAGTATCCACATTTTGTTTAAAAAAAACCATTCAGATCAAAAATGGAAGAATAACAGTTCTGGTTCCACTCGCCTTGAAACTTCTGTTGCAGTAAATGTCATTCGTGTTTTGTGTTTGTTGATTAACTGGCAACACAGGGCTTGTTCCAGCGATTTATACTGTACGTGTGCAGCATTGCTATACTGTTATAATTATAATAATACTTCTCTTGACAGGGCTTCATGACGCAACATCACACAGCAAATTACTCTGAAGTGAAGGGTGGGTGGGGGTTGTGTAGGTAAACGTGGTACATGTTATGACTGCATAACGGTCATTAAACTTTAATGAGGTGTCACCCCGGACTATCGGATAAAGTCCTGGAGTAGGGTGAACCCATAACCCCTCTATCTCCCAGAGATGAAAGTGCTAACCACTGAGCCACAGGGCATGCAAATTGTTATCCCTTGCATCTGCGTTCAGTGGAAACATGTACAGTTTTATTGCACAGCATCTCAAAATTGAATCAAGACAGTGTAGATGTATTCAATAGCAAGCTAGACCTTCAAAATGAGGGAGAAGGGAAAAGAAAAGTATGGGGGGGAGCTAGGAGTGGGTGGCAATTCCATGTGGAGTATAAACACCAGCATGAACTGATTAGGCTGAGTGTCCCATTTCCATGCTGTATATTCTTTGTAATTCTTGGAGAGGACTGTTAATACTTTACGTCTTAGATGTGTTTAATGTTATATTCTCCTTGGGTTTAAAAATGGCATATGTTGATACCACTTAGTGTGATTAATTAATTGTACTCATACGTTTCTATCGATATTGGTATTGATGGATATTAAATGCAGTGAATGCCTCAAGATTAGAAATTCCATTCTATTGTGTTTTGTGTAATGAGCCTGGCCTTTATACTTGTGTTGGAGCTAAATGTTAATATATTGTAGTGCTTGTTACGTACTTTATCTCTGCTGGCATCTTAAGTTCAAGTGTATATGTTGGTGGGTGTAGGGGGGGGAAGCTCACATTCAAATGATGATTTTAGGGCATGTTGTGTACTTTTGTTTACATTGCTTAATGTGAACTAAATGACCCCAATGCCTTAGCACGTAAATGCACCATCTAGTGTAGTACTGAGATGTACAAAATAGAAAGGCTTCCTGTTCATTGGCCCCCTATCCACCTGCCCTGGCAGTTTAATACTGTACGTTGATGTCTAGGCTTCTGATTGAAGATAGACCCTCGGGTAAGGCACTGTGGATCCGCACAGTATCAGGAGTCAATGCCATCAAGATTGGAGGGAGAAACCAGCTGAATGACCTTAGATGTAGTTGTGGTTAGCACAGCAATTCTAAGTAAAGCACTGAGGTTGTGGGGCAAATGCACTTTCAGCATCTATTCCCCATTTTTGTATACACAGTAATTAGCAATGTAGTGGCATAGAGGCATGTGATTTTTTTCCCCCTGCTGCTCTCCTATCTTATCTGAGCTTTTGTCAGGAGGATTTTGGACTCCTGTTGGGAGCGGAAAAATCCGAGTAAGAACCCTCACTGGGCTGTTAGCCTGAACCTCTCAGTGCCTGAAGAGCAATAATGGCTTAAGGAGAAGCATGTGTTGAAGAGGAAACAGAGCCACTCATACCCTGTTCCTTCTTTGTGGAAAAAAGGAGAGGTTATCTGTAGAGGTTGTCAAACAAGCAAATTATGATACAAGGACTTTACTGCCAGTTCAGGATCAAATCTTCAGTCGTAAATTGCAAAAACAGTTTGCGCTTGTCAGTTCTTGTTACGTTGATGGACTGTCCAATTTAGATGTCTCGGGACCTTTCAATAAGTATCTGATTGGAATGTCAAAGCTGTCAGTTGGATGGGTAGCCAGACAGCTTGATATAGCTGCTTTACTGTGTCCACCTTGCATAGGCAAGGGGTTCTGTTTAAATACACACTTTGTCAATAAAACCAGGTGGGTGCCACGAAGTTGCGCGTGTTGGTGTTGCACAGAAACAATTTTAAAAGCACTCAGAAATTTTGCCAGAACAGATTTAGAGACCTTCATTTTTCTATATAAAAAAAACTAGGTGTGGAACACAGCTCTGTTGCGTGAGTTGCTATGAATTTATCAAAGCATGGCTGCATGAATCACGATGCCTTCATCTTTTTACACAGACTGTTGTATCTGAGTATTCTACCTGACGGGCGGGGGAGGCGGGAGGGGAGTACAGAACCGAGGAAACTGGAGTAGATGATCGAGGTTCCAAACTGGCTGTTGGCAGGCACCGCAGTCAACTGCCCTGTTATCACTGTTAATTGTTCCAAAGCGGGTTTTTATTTATGTGTCTTCTGTATTGCGTTTCACACAGAAGAGGTGTATCTGTGTTCGCGTTGAGATTTGCAGAAGTTCGAATTGCATGTGAACGCTTGTGTGTGGAAAAGAACAGCGCAATTTTTTTTGCAGGAAGGGGGCACTTTTCAACTTGTTATTTGTTATTTTAGGTGGTGTTTTGTAATTGAATAAAAGGACTTGCCCACAATGAATGGGTTTGTAATAACCACACAGCGCATACAACAACAAATTACATTTACATGGAGCCCTTCCCAAATGTTTTCTCCTTGGCCTTTAGATTACTGTGAATTTTGTAATAACTAAAGCATCCTGTTTTTTTTCCAACCAATTTTCTGCTCCACAAGTGCCAGGTGCTTTCCAGAATCTCACCCAAATGGCTTTCATCCACTGTATAGTGAGTGTTGGCAGTCGATGTGAGTAATAATAACAATAATAATCCTTGCATTTGATTGTGGAGTCCTGTAGCTCAGTGGTTAGAGCACTCGCTTTGCAAGCGAGAGACCTGGGTTCAATTCCAGGCAGAGGGCGAAACCTTGGGCAAGTTTCCTTACTCCACACAGAGCCCTAATAATAATCCCTCCAAAGCAAAGCAATAATAAATTGGTCGTTTTCAATCCACGATTGTTTGTGGGACGCTGCTGTGCGCAATTGGCTGCCGCGTTTCGCCCACAAATATACGGTCAATTCACTTTACAGCATATTCTGTGAAGCGCTTTGAGATGTCGAGAGGATGTGAAAAGCGCTATATCAAATGCAAGGATTATTATTATTATATAGCCTCATCATGTTGTTGAGGCATCTCAAAGTGCTTCACAGTAAAGTCAATTGACTGTATATGTGTATGTGAAGTGGGAGAAGTTGGTATTGGGGTGGGGAAGGAAAGTCACAGGTGTGTATTAACCTGCCCTAACCAGAAGCCCACATGTGCTCCCTGTTCCATAGGGTTAGCAACCAGATGATCATAATAATCCTTGAATTTAGCATAGCGCTTTATTATTTGTCTCAAAACACTTCATTGGGTTTACTGTGGAATATAGCGTCTGTATTCTGTAGGCGAACTTGGCAGACAATTTGTGCACAACAATGGCTCCCAAACAGTCATCACCAATTTTATACGGCTGAGAAACCGGGAGATTCAGGAAGCCTGCCCGATTTCTTTCCCTTTCTTCCTCCCTCTCCCCCCCCCCTTCCCTGTGCAGCCAAGGGGAGCTGAGGCCAATTGTAGTGTCCCCACAAGCGGCCTAATTGAGAACCATAAGCTCAATACAGATCAAAGATAGAACCTGTATCCTTTCTTGGTCTGTGTGGTTCAGTATCCTACCAGACAGTTAGCTTTTAGCAACTTAGCTGTTGGGGGCACACACACAGTGACACACAGAGGTCAGCCATTCTCCTATAAGAGGGCTTCTGTTAGACATTATTAAGTGTCTGAAACAAAGCCAGCCTAAACCCTGACTCTCGCTACGATGGTGTGAGAGCACGAAACGGCTTTATATAATGTATTATTTATAATATTTTTATATTATTATGCAATAGTGATTATTATTATTGAATAACATGTAATAATAATAATCCTTGCATTTGATATAGCACCTGATCACCTCGTTGAGATGTCTCGAAGGGTTCACAGAATACACTGTAAAGTGTAATGACTGTGTATTTTGTGGTCTATTCATAGGTGAAATTGCTTGTTATTTTTCAAAAGCCAGATTTTCCTGTTTTACAATACCTGTGTATGCATTCCTATAAAGGACGGACATCCAGTATTTGCACATTATCCTTTGCTGTTAAATTCCTTATGATTCCTCTCTAAAATCTCCAATGAGATTTAATTTTATCCTTAAACGTTTTCTTTTTCAGGTTTGGTCTCAGCAACAAATTTGATGCAGAATTTCCCAATGTTCTTACAGGAAAGGTGAGTATTGATAAACAAAGAGTGGTGAAAGCTATGATTTCCTCGTTTCCTTTTTCTTTCCCCTCCTCACATTGCAGATTCTATATTTCTACAGGATAAAGTCCCCCAAATGGCCCAATAGAATGTAGTGACCTATAGGAAATCGTCCAGACAAGAGCTGCTTATTTATAGAGCAAACTTTTTAATGTACCTCAATGACTCATTATTTCTAATAGATCAGTTTAAAAGCTTTCCCTCCCTGAATTTCATTAAAACATTTCCAAGACCCAGTAAAAAATGGATCCATTGCATACAATTCAGCATCTTACACAAAACAAATCACGTTAATCCGATTTACACGACTCAGTATAGGCCAGCATTTCATATCACCACATTTTCAATAACATGTTGGGACAGCAATTTAAATAAAAGCAAACTATGCACTCTTAACCCATCCTTTTTAGCACTCTTCTCAGAGAATTATTTTTATTCAACTAATATTTTATCTATTTAATAAATTACAACAGTTTGACTGACTTCAGCACTATTACGAATTGGATTTTGGGGTCATCTGAATTCACTACACAGATGGTGTGTGTTACCTGTGCTAGGATCAAGTGTGTGTGATTTATCAGTATAGATTACATATTACAGCATTCTTTGAATGCAAATGCAAAAATTCCAATGTTGTCAGCTGAAATGAGCAAGTGGGTCAAATCCAAATGTTTTTAAATAATTGATGGGTCATAATTGCATGAGAAGTTCTCTCTTGACAAATTGCAATAACGAATGAGCCAGAGGTGTGAATTACTGCGCTTGAAATATGGTAAGATTATAATTTTGTCAAATAGCTTCAAACTATTACATGCAGGATGCCAGTTAATTTTATTTTGAGATCCTATTGCTGCGTGGAAACTTTAAACGATGCTCCGTGCAAACTGGCCTGAGGGTGGAGGAGGAAGAGTTGTCATGGAACATTTGTTCAGATGTAAAAATTCTATCTGGGGCCAAAAAGGAGACTATACATCATTGACATTAACGATTCCACTGATCACAATGGGTCAGAAATTTGCTAACGAAACTCCATTTTGAAATAAACATCTATTTCTTCCCAATTTTAACACCAAAGTTGTTCAGTTCTTATAACGCAGAGTTTCAGAAAGGGCATGCGGGGAAGAAATTACTATTGCCTTTTGTATCTGCCCAGTCTTCCGTTGTGACTTTGAGAAACACTGGCAAGAAATATTTTTGAATGTGCTCATTTCCCTTTCTAAAACTCCAGCAGTTTGCCAAATTTAACCTGTGTTTGCTGTGTGGTTAAGGATCTAGTTCAGAAAGGTGCCTTGATATTCCTTTATTGTGGCATCTATTTAAATCACACTATTGTGCAGCATTTTGCTCTTCCCTCCGAGCATATATAAAAGTATGGCATAAGTGCCACGTGATGTGAAAGATATAATGTCATGCACAGCTCCAGGGGGGCACATTGGATGACTCGAATCTAATATAGGAAGAAATGAAGCTTCCTACTCTAAACTTGGAACAAAGAAAAGGCCTGTGGAGAGGTGGTGTGCAATGCAGGGAAGTGTAAGCAATAAACGAGTGGCTTGCATTGTGTCTGAACTCGACAGTTGATGGATTAGAGGCCTGCCTTATTATGATTGAAGAGGCTAGGCAAGCCTGCTAGGCTTTGCCGGCCTTTTCACTATTTGTAAAGTGTTTTCGCATCCTGTTGTAAAATGTTACAACCGTGTTTTATTAGCAGGTACAATATAAGGCTGAGGGGAAGTAGGAATCATTTGCAGTGTGGGAAGCAGACTGTACTAACCAGTAGCTGGATTCTCATTTGCATTTTCCCTATGGCAAGAATACTTGGGTCATAATATACAGCCAATTCATGTTGCTAGTGAGATGCAATGCAAAGCTTTAAGACAATTGTTTCTTTCCAGCATTTTATTCGTTTTGCAAATACAGTAAATGTTCTCCGTTAAGCTAATTTACAAGTTCCACAAAGCAGCATGTGGAGAATATTATATGTAATCTTTTCTATGTAAATAGAGTCATAAGCTATGTGTTGTCAGAAGTTGAAATCTAGTGCTAAAGTTACAGTAGAAATTCTCAGGACTAAATTTAGTTTGCAGAACCTTATAATCTTATGAACTCTAAACTGTTTTTTTTCAAATTAGCGCTTAATGTCTCAATGAAACATTTGATCACCAGACTCAATTTAAACACTTGGCCACTTTTACCATAGCAGACGACACAAAATATGAAGTTGCTGGACGTAGTGGGTTATATCAGTGTGTGATCAATAGAAAAATTCCAAGTGAATTGATGTAAAAGTTTCTGTAGTTCTCAGAAAATCGGAACTTGAATTCTGCTATTGTGTTCGCACTGTTCCTCTTCAAACAATTGCATGTTCCGCTGAGCACTTTTGGTTTATTTTGTGACCATTGTCTCCGTGCTGCACATTGTTTTGCTGTTACCTTCTCTGCTCAAAACCACGTTGTGGGATTTGATTGCTCAATAATCCTCTGGTGAAAGTCAAGAGGTTTCCTATAACATTTATGTTGACCTTCTCGTGTGGAACGATTTGAGTAGAAGAAGTTGAGAAAACGGGACAAGTATAGAAGGCTTTTTATAAATACTGACTTCATCTCAAGTACGTGTGGTGCAATGCACTTACAGTAATGTTGGCATTACTTGATTTTCTGCAGAAGAGGAAGAGGATTTCAATAAGCTACAGTGCCCCTTGGATAAGGAAGGGGCAAATTAGCATGCGTTCCATGCTGCTGATAGCTGTTTAGCAGTTAGTTCTGCTGTGATGACAGTATTGATTTTGACTGTGATTAACCTTTGGATGTTGAAGGACTTCCAGACAATCATTTTGTCGTCTATCACACATGAAAAAACACCCTTGTGGGCCGTGGTACCAAAGAGCTGATTTTGTGTATTAGTATTAGTACCCCTGCAGGAGTTACAAGTTTGGGGAGAAGGAAAAAGAAAATTCCTGCATTTTCTCTCCGAATAAGAAAACGAGTCCAGTTATTTCCACAAAGTCCCCCTCAAACATGACACTTAAATTGGTTCAAATCTCTGCTCGAACATTTCAAATTCAAGCTACGTTTTCTCTTTCGTGAAACAAGTCCTAAGGCAACTTTTGGTTGATTTCAAACCTGCCTAAGTCTGCTGACTGCTGGTTCCGTCTGTCCTAGGTGGCTCCAGAGGAATACAAGACGAGCATCGGTCGGATAAATGGGTGTTTAAAGAAGAATCTTCCCATTAACGTCAAGTGGCTTCTGTGTGGTTGTCTGTGTTGCTGTTGCACCCTGGGCTGCAGTCTTTGGCCGGTCATCTGTCTTAACAAAAGAGTAAGTGCTCTTTAACTTTAACCCTTGCGCAGATAGGATCAGACATGAAAGGCGCTATATCAAATGCGAGGATTACTTTTTAGTAACTGAACCCCCTAATTTGTTCACAGCCTTGCAGTTTATTGTGGGACTGCTGCGTGCTGCTGTGGGTTAGTAACGTTGCAACACAATCTTTCACTTGATGTTTTTCAGACTCGAAGGTCCATACAGAAGTTATTAGAGTGGGAGAATAACAGATTGTATCACAAGGTGAGAAAGCTCAACAGCCAAGAGTATGTGTGGTAAAGGCCAAACAGATAATTCTGCTGCTATGCAGACATAACCTTCACTTTTCAATACCATTACTCCCATTAGCAGAACTCACAGGCTGTTTTGCTGTGCGTAATTGGCTGCCGCGTTTCGTCCCTCAAAATATACAGTCAATTCGCTTTCCAGTATATTCTGCGAATCGCTTTGAGACGCCTCGAAGGCGTGATCAGGCACTATATCAAATGCAAGGATTATTATATATTTTGTGTACATACCATGATGTCTTATCGCTGACCTTCCTACTATGACAAGAAATAGTTAGAATTTTGCATTAACCCCCATTTTCAAGGGATTCTTCTGACTTCCAGTGAAAATCCAGCTATCCTGAGAAATCTTACTTGATTGCAAATCACTGATGAATATTGCAATCCTTGGCATTACTGCCCTAAAGTATTAGCAGACAATGGAGGATGGGAAAGGGGTTGTGAAAAAGTAGTTAAACTAATTGAAGCCCTCTGGATAATCTCACTACGTCATGAAGATGTGTTAAGGAGAAAGATTTTCTTCAGCTAAATATGCTTTCTTTTCCCTCGTCTTTTGGATTTAGCTTGGTTTGCACTGGAAGCTGAGCAAAAGGAAATGTGAAACCAGTAACATGATGGAATATGTAAGTAATCCACTTACACGCTCATTCGTGTCTTTCCAATTGATAAACGGGTTGCAAACGTTCAACACTCCATCATGCTTCAATGTCTGTTTGCATCAAATTGCACTAAATAGTTTTATAACCCCAGGTTCCAGATGTTAGCTGTCCTACCAGATGGAGAGCAGGTGTTTCCCCAAAGGGGTATAGGACAGATAGACAGGTTAACCCAGCTTGCCGGACTCCCAAGTGGCTGGTTTCAGAAGCGAGCAGCATTGCCAGCGATCTGGGAGAAAGTCATATGCCTGCTCTTTCAGTGACTTGATTACACAATTGGGAGTAAAGAGCTGAGAATTCATATCGGGTGTTTCTGCACGAGTCTACCTGAGTCTTAAAAATTGTGTGTTCAGAACCATTTTGTTCTTTTTTTTCAAAAAAAAAGTTTCTGATTCTATGCAATGCACCACTCCTGCAGTACGCTGCATGCAAAGTAGGCTGTTTGCAAAGAGGCAAAATACAATATAATAGTTCATTCTCCTTTTTTCTTTGCAGGTAATACTGATAGAATTCTTACCCAAATTTCCTATACTCCGACCCGACTGAAGAAGGCTCGGCCACCGTGAAGTGAAAGCATATCATTCCTACCCTTAGTGCCTTGTGGATTTCTGAGCAAAAGTGTCAACACACCTGTTTTAAAAATGTCTCTAGTCCACTGTAGTGAGTGTAAACTACCTTTCTAGTCTTTCCTTTACAAAGCATATTTTGCACATGTATTATTTTTTCCCTTTCTCTAAAAGTGTTGCACTCAATCTACGATCACAAACATCTGGTGAATACGAAGGTGTTCACTTTGAAAGAAATCAGCTGTTGTAAATAATGCTTCAGTCCATATTGTACAGTCTGCTGTATGTCAATGTTTACAGAATTTAATATTGCTTCACCGCCAAGCGTCTGAAATATGGAAGGACTTTCTGTTTGCGATTGAAGTTATTTTTTTTGGTGCAAATGTGGATTTGTAGGATCTTTTCGTAACTAGATTAGCCATGTAAATGGAAAAGAAAGTGCCTTTGTATTACAGTAATTACAGTAGGAAGAGTTACTCCCATTGAAACACAAGAACAAATCTAAACTACAAAGAGCAGATGACCGGGGAATCAAACCAATGTCTCCAGAGATGGAACTAGCTGTGCTTCTCAAAGATCCTTAATCCATATTACTGTCTTCTGACATGTAGAGTATAAAATGTATTATAGTCTTAGTACAGAATGTTTTTTATTTACTTCAGTATAAAGGACGAAATGGATAAAGGATTCAGTATTTCTAAAAAGCTCAGTCTTCTGTTGGAACCTGTATTTCACAGCTAATTCTCTACCTTACCCCAGCCCTCCCCCAAACCTGGTGCTATTTTCTTGTGTGAATCTCCCCTAGGTTTGGAACTCTTTAATGAAGATTTTGTTTTGTACTGAAAAGAAATCTGTTACCCTTCCGAGAACCAGTATATTTTGCTTCATTATTCATGCCCACGTGAAGCAACCATCACAGAAAAGCTGTTACACAAGGGTTTTTTAATCTCTGCTGTTGGGAAAGATTTCATTCTGTTTCAAACGGACATTGCGATAAAGGAAAATCCAGTGACTTTGTCCCGAAATAATTAATTTCTCTCGCACCAAAGCAAAGCGTATTTTTGTAAGATGTAGACGCAAGTCACAAACTTCTTATAATATCTAGCTATCTGTACAATAACTGTAATATCTGATCTACCATTTTATGAACCTGTAGAATTTGTGGGGCTTTTGTCTGTTCACCGAGGTTTGGATTGTGTGATAGCCTTTCGGTAACTCTTACCTTCAGGCTTCGAGAGATCATCAGTATATATACCAAAGTATCATCAAGCTTTTTCATAATGTAAAGCTAACATAAATTGGGAATTTTAATGAACCCTTAACAAATTTACCTGTTATTGATTCCATCAACTCCCACATACCCTGAGGAGACAGTAGACCACTATAGTGGAAGCTGCATTTAGATTTAACCAGATTAAGCTGAATTAACTTATTTTTGTTTTGCTATTTCTTTCTCCTCTCTCCCCTTCCCCTCTTCCCAGTAATTGAACCTCATCTTATTTTGAAGGACATAAACTGTGGATTTTAGAATTGCGATTGCTGTATTATATCCTTAGCCAGTAATAGGATGAATCAGAACTGAACCAGATATTTCTCTCATTCTGTCGAGCATGATTTTTTATCTAGTCTTGTTGAAGCGAATAAAATCAATCCAGAAGAATTGGGTGCCCAGACAGTATGGTGGAAGTGCCAAATATAACCGTATGGTTGTACCTGTGGAATTTGCTGTCAAAGCCACTATCAAATTTAGCAAGTTAGAAGTGACTGGATTGCTATACAATGAAACCAAGAAATTTGTAAGTCATCTAATTGAATTTGTACCACTGTTAGCCCCAGACTGTTGTTTTCAAGCTCCGCCACTGTTAAGCGCCCCAACATGCTACCCCACATGAAGGGCGCTGTATAAATGCAAGCTGTTGTTTTCAATAACGTCTATAATTATGATTAAGCATAGAAGAAGTAATGAAAGCTGAATGGAAGCTCCACCAGAAAAGCATGTTTATTATCGTATTGACGCTCATACTCGTCCTTTAGATTATAGCTAACACCACTCCTGCCGCGTCTTCTCACTTTAATTCCAGCGGGTCACTTGATTTAATTTCGAGTGGGTTATTTAAATGCTATCTGATTGCATTGATGTTTCTAGAGTCATAGCAGTAAGAGGAAGGGGTGAGTCCTACATTGTATTGAGATAGAGGTATAAAACGTTTTGAGTTTGTAAAATCTGACCGGGCGTTGTATGTTTGGCATGCTAGATCAGTCACCATGTTGGCCTGATGATTTTACAAAGCAGTTTCCTGCATTCTGACTTTTTGTGTGCGTGTAAATGTTTTACGTTGCTTTGTTATACTTTATTATAATTGTGCTGTTTGCCAGGATTTTACATGTGACATAAATTAGTAGGGGAAAGTTACGTTGAGAAGGTTCAGCAGTTACAGCAACTATCAAGTGTTACTGTATTACTGTCTGAACCCTGACCTATTTTTTTAACCAGTCGGAATCTGAAGAAAATGCTGCATTTCAATTGTTTTGGATGACCTATTTTCGTAGATTTTTATTTCATTGTGATTTCTGTTTTATTCGTTTAAAAGTGCCACAAAAAAAGAGAGGTTTGTTAACTGTGGGGGTCTAATTGATGGTTTTCTTGTTACATTTCTTAATGAGGCTCGTTCGTTGTTAACAAATTTCTTAGAAGTCGCAAAATGCGGAAGAATACAATTTTTCAAGGCATTGAATATTTTTAGAATTTCGACCAGTCAACATTTCCCTTTAACAAATCTTAAGATATAATGCAAAATCGGATCCAGATCTCAACAAAAAGAAAAGCGTTGTGTAATTTGAAATGCAGATTAGTGTTGTCGAAGTGCTTTTCATCAAATCTGTTTCAAAGGTTATTAATGAAACCGAATGAGACTAAACTGTCCTCGGGATGAAGACTGCAACATGTTAGTGTATATGGCTGTGCATTTGATAAAAAGCAACTGTGGTCAACGCACTGTATTGAAAATTGCAGAACATAGTTCCTGTGCGTAACATTTGATTAACTCATTTTAATTACCGAGTCAAGTTTTTTTTTCATTGTTCAAAGATCCAGATTTCAGTGGAACTTGTCTTTAGTCAGTGCTTCTCAAGCGTTCTCAGGAGAAGAGAGTTAATTGAATGCAAATAAGGCATTTTAACTTTAATAAAGGAGAAAACGTGGAAAGGTTCACTTTAATGCATAATTCTTTTGACCTTTTTAAAGACATGGGAAGAGGGAGAGAAGAAAACAGCATTTTAATAACTTGGGGGAGGGGGTTGGTGGTGTGGGGGCGATTAAAACTACAAATTGAATACCGAACATTTGCACCCCATTGCAGTGACTTTCATTCAGATCATCCACTGCAAGTGTTGTGTGCTGCAGACATTGCTTCTGTGAATAGTTAGGTGCATGTTCAGTCAGCAAATCGCTCTATCTGAGGTGTGCGTACGTTTAAATGTATTAATGGGTCTGGTTTAATGATCCGTTCTGATATGATTTCTTTTCCCCCACCCAGCCTCAACACTACAATTGCCACGAATGAGTTTACTTTTATTTATGTATTTAATAAATTGTACCCCTCCAGGTTGTTAAAAGTTTTATGTTCTATCAGGCCATTCATGTAAGTGCATAATTAAAGCAAAGTTAAGTATAATCTGGCTTCTTCTGACTTTTTTTTTCTCTTTTTTCCTCATCAAAAAAAGGAACGAAAAAATTCAGCAGAGAAAGCAGTATGTACATGGAGTGCGTAGAACCGATCTGTAAATGCATCCTGTCCGTTGCCACAGTACAATAATGTGGATAGCTGGTGGGAGCTGCTGCAGTGGAAAGTTATTGACCTCATAATGTTTCCACTGCGTTATCGATCTTGTAAATTTTATTGACTTAGTGAAACGAGATTAAAAATTGTTCTAGGAACGTCGCCAATGAAGAGCGTTTCTCCCTTCTCCCCTCGCTGGAAAGTGCTGAATTTCTGCACTCTTCAAGATGAGCGATGTAGTCGTCGCGGAAATGGACCGTTTAATATTTGTGATGTGGGCTTTCGATGCTCTTGTGTGTCAGAGAAAGAGGCTTGAACAGTCGAGGGATAAATTCCCAATTCAGAGGGTTGACTGTAAACCCAGTCTTGATTAAACTGACTTGTTTTAGCTCCCCCCAATGGCAAAATTGGTAAATTCACAGCCAGTGCACAGCTAACGTATCCAGATCGGGTAAGATCCCCGGGTTCATTATATAATAATAATAATCCTTGCATTCGGAAAGGGCCTTATCATGTCGTTGAGATTCCCGTGTCCCTTCTGCACCATTGCCGGCCGTGCTTTCAGCTGATATGGGCAGAAACCCGAGAACTCCCCGCCTCAATCCCTCCCATCTTGCCCCCTCTTTGCCAGTCTGAAAATCACACCTGAAGATTTTATAATAATAATAATAATCCTTGCATTTGATATAGTGCTTTTCACGTCGGGAGGACGTCCCAAAGCGCTTCACAGAACACACTGTAAAGTGAATTGACTGTATATTTGTGGGCGAACGCGGCAGCCAATTGCGCACAGTAATGTCCCACAAACAGTCGTAGATTGAAAATGACCAATTTATTATTGTTTTTGGTTTTGGAGGATTATTATTAGGCTCTGTGTGGAGTAAGGAAACTTGCCCAAGGTTTGGCCCTCTGCCTGGAATTGAACTCAGGTCTCTCACTTGCAAAGCGAGTGCTCTAACCACTGAGCTACAGGACTCCACAATTTTCCTCTTCGACCGAGCCTTCGTGCATCTCCCTCTCTTTCCATCTCAGCACGGAGTCCTGTAGCTCAGTGGTTAGAGCACTCGCTTTGTAAGAGAGACCTGGGTTCGATTCCCGGCAGGGGGCGAAACCTTGGGCAAGTTTCCTTACTCCACACACCTGATAATAATCCCTCAAGAAAAAACAATAATAAATTGTTCATTTCAATCCATGACTGTTCGTGGGACGCTGCTGTGCGCAATTGGCTGCCGCGTTTTGCCCACAAATATACAGTCAATTCACTTTACAGTCAATTCTGCGAAGCGCTTTGAGACGTCGAGAAGACGTGAACAGCGCTATATCAAATGCAAGGATTAGCATTATTATTATTATTAATCCTTGCATTTGATATAGCGCTTTTCACGTCGGGAGGATGTCCCAAAGCGCTTCACAGAACACACTGTAAAGTGAATTGACTGTATATTTGTGGGCGAACGCGGCAGCCAATTGCGCACAGCAATGTCCCACAAACAGTCGTAGATTGAAAATGACCAATTTATTATTGTTTTTAGTTTCGGAGGGATTATTATTTAGCAGCAGCCGATTATTTAGCATCAAACCACACCCCGTTAAGCGATCTGAGCATGAAGAACGCCACGTACGTATGCGAATGCAGGTCGTCGTTATCGGGATGGTGTACAGGAAAAGACGGGAAGAACAACAAATGCACAAGCGTGAGAAACGGAAGTACTGTACAGCTTAATCGCTCCCGCGATCAGTGAGGTCGTATTCCAGGCCCCCGAGGGCTCGCATTACATATTGGGGACTCTTGACACCGCGCGAACATAACGGCCAAATCCCATCAGTCGCTGACCAGACAGGTGATCGGAATGTAAGCCCAGTGATCTGATCATCAGCCCCGTCCCTGCCCATCGTGCCATTCCAACGCTGCGACGGCAATCGGCGCAACTGATGCTCAGTTGAGTTTGGATTCACCGCACCGCCCCAGGTTGGCCGTCTGTGCCGCCGTTTGATTCTCCAGTCACCGGGAGCCCTTGACCTCTTGAGGGAGACGGGTTTTTTTTTCATTTTATTGACACCATTCACACACAGGTCCATCTCCGGGGGAAAAGCAGTCAGTTGCCCCTCTCCCGTCGGGAGGACACCTGGTTGCGACGACTCCCGACACACAGACAGATGTTTCGTCTCCATGAGTACCCCCCCCACCCCCCGCCCCCCCCCCCGATCGATGGCTTCCCGGGTTTCCCACCCCCGATGCTGGTGATCATATTCACGTGAGGCGGCGTTGGCGGCGAATGGTGGTGGATTTCAGCGGGTGAGTGGGTTTGCCGCGTGAGCCGCGCGTGTGGGGGTGGAATGGGGGGGGAGGACGTGTGATGCGATTCAGTGGATGAGTTGGGTTGTGTGAGTCACGTTTGTTTGTGTGCGTGTCCGTGTGCGCGCGTGCGCGTTGTTTGAGTCATGCATGTGAAGGGGTTGTGTGTATGTGTCTATATACATATATGTGCGTGTGTGTGTGTGTTGTGAGTCATTATGCATGTGTGTGGGGGGGGGAGGGGAGTCTTGTGATGTGTTTCAATAATAATAATAATAATCCTTGCATTTGGTACAGCACCTTCGCACGTCATTATATGTGTGTGTACGCAGGTGTGTGTGTTAGTGTGTTAGTGTGTGTGCATGCATGTGTGTATATATATGTGTGTGCACGTGTGTGCGTATATATGTGTGCGCATGTGTGTATATATGTGTGTTAATGTGCGTGCACACGTGTGTGTGTATATATGTGTTAATGTGTGTGCACACGTGTGTATATGTGTGTTAATGTGTGTGCACACGTGTGTGTACATATGTGTGCGCATGTGTGTATATGTGTGTTAATGTGCGTGCACATGTGTGTGTGTATACATATGTACATATATATGTGTGTGTGTGTGAGTTACGTGTGTGTATACATTTATGAGTGAGTGTGGGGGGGGGGCGGGTCATGTGATGTGTTGTGGGGGGGGGTCATGTGATGTGTGGGGGGGGGCGGGTCATGTGATGTGTGTGGGGGGCGGGTCATGTGATGTGTGGTGGGGGGGCGGGTCATGTGATGTGTGGTGGGGCGGGTCATGTGATGTGTGGGGGGGCGGGTCATGTGACGTATTGTTGTTGGGGGGGGGAGAGCTGAGGTGGGCGCTAGGACCCGGGACCCGGGACGCGGGGGGGGCGGTGGCGGTGTGTGTGTGTGGAGGGGGACGGGTCGGGGGAACGCTGTGGGTTCGGTCTCCGTCACCGACCGACCGACCGACCGACCGGTGTCGCCTGTGTCTCGGCGCCAACACAACACAACACACACATAAGGCGTCGCCTTTACCGCGAGGAGAGACCGACCGACCGACCGCGAGAGGGAGAGAGAGAGAGAGGGGTAACCCCCCCCCGACCCCCCCCCCCCCCTCCCTCCCTCATGGCGGCCGAGGCCGAGGCGCTGAACCCGGGCGCGGATTCTACTCAAGCGCCGGGCGGCGGCGGCCTGGAGGCCGAGGAGGACGAGGACGAGGAGAACTGGTTATACGGCGGTGAGGGTCTGTGTGTTTATATGTGATGTGTACAGTGGTGTCTCTGCAGAGGTATACATTAACATATTAATCACATATATATATATATATGTGTGTGTGTGTGTTATTTGTATATATTTGTGAATTAATCCCTATATACACAGGTGGGTATCTTTGATATATATGTATATGTGTATTTATAAATCGTATACAGGTCGATATCTTTGATATATAGATACACTATGATCTTAAATGGTATATTTAATATATATATATATATGTGATACACGTGTATACAAGATATATATTTATATACGTGTGTGTGTGTGTATATATATTGTGTGTATATATATAATAATATAATATATATTGTGTATATATATAATAATATAATAAAAATACACATAGTGTATATATATAATAATATAATAATAATGTATATATTGTGTGTGTGTATATATATATATATATATATAAAGGTTGTTAGTCGATTGGCGCATTGCTTTTCTGGGGGTAATAACCCCCTCCGATGTATATAAAAACTAATAACAATAATAATTCGGTCACTTCGACCCCGCGGACGCGCCCGGGGGGAACGCCGCTGCGGGCGGGCGGCCGGCCGCGGAACGTGCGGTCGGTTCGCTTTGGTGATACCCTCGCAGCGCGCCCCGCGAAGACGTCTCGGCCGGCGGCGCGATGTACGGGCGCTGTGTCGCACGCGGAGGGGTCGAGTCGGAAATGAGAATCGTCTTTTCGACCCGAAGTGACGCATCGTTTTTCTGTTTTGTTTGCAGATGAGAACCCAGGTAAGCCAGAAGAGGCATCGCTACTTGGGTAAGAACCATTTTTAGCATTCTCATGCCTCTCTTCCCCCTCCTCTAATAATAATAATTATTATTATTATTATTAGAGTCACTCTCGTGGGTGACTCGTGCCGAGATTTTTGTTCTGCGGCCGTCGGTACATTGTCCAACTGACTTTTCTAACGCGGGGATTTATCACACCCGAGTCCAGTTTCGTACGTCGCCTGATACCTGCCGTGCGCTTTCCAATCCCGTAACAAGAGATAACTAAAATAAACCGGTACCGATCTCTTTTGTAACGTGACGGCAGTTGAGCCACTCCTATCTCTCACGAGGACTGCGGTTATGATGGGTGGCGTTGTGTGTGTCCACCGCTATGTTTGTCGAAAGATTTGAAACATTCACTTACATAAAAAGGTACTAAGTAAATGCAAGTTATTGAGATCCTGTTTGAGGCTCTCTGGTTTGCTTGGTTTGAACAGACAGGATGACCCCTTACAACTTCTTCAAGACAAGTCACAAGAATCCAAAGTCAGCAGCTTTGAAGATCGAGAATCAGCTGAAATGGTACTTTTTTCACTGTTTGTCCCCCACATTGAACATTGGAGAAATTAATAGTAATTTACCTGAAGCCTCAATTTATTTAGCCAGGTATAGTTTAATTAAAGCTATGTTTGCCGACAAAGATAATCACTACACTTGATAGTATGTCCATGGGAACTGCATTTTGAAGTTGGAAGTTATATTGAATGGAAGGATTAAATTTTTTTTAATGGTAAAGGACTGTTGTATTTCAGGCTGCACAAAATGGCGGGGGTGAAGATGAACATGGTGACGAAGATGACAGCGATAGCGACAGTGATGATGATGATGTGAAGGTCACCATCGGCAACATTAAAACACAGTATATGTAAGTGGGCTCTCTTGTGCACGTGTAACAGTGCTCTCTTCAGTGTAATTATTAGCAGATATGGAAACAAAACCGATTGCGAACAGCAAAACACGCAGTAAATGGTTACCAATAGATCACATGATTGGGGAAGAGGAAGAAACAAGATCACCTATAGGTATTAGGACCTACAAAAACATCACTTCCCCCAATCACCTTATCACTGTTTGTGTGGATCCAACCCTGTTTATTGTTGCTCAAACTGTATGGTGTGCAAAACCCTCTCTCTCTCTCTCTCTCTCATGGCTGGGATTCTAGAAATAGTTTTCATTCAGCCCTTTGACATTTTTCCAGGGGAACTCCAATGAACCTGAATCTGAAGACTGGCCGTCCGTATGGATCTTCCGTGACGGGTGAGTGAGGAGACTATGGGGATTTAATGTTTGTGGGCTACACATATAGCTTAGTGGAATAAGGACATTGTGGCTATGTGTATTGTGATAAACCATTCCATCTGTCCAGTTTGGAGGGCAACAGCCTGGAAATTGAGAGTAGAGTAGATGGCTCCAGTAATTGCATCAGCAATAGGCTCCTTGATGAGCCAAATGTTCCCACAGCTGATGGAATCCTTCAGGCGTTTCAAAAAAGAAATAGATCCGTTCCAGTCAACTGAAAGGTTATTGCATTTGCAGATGGACATCAAGGGAATCTTGGGAGAGTAGGTTAGATGTACAGATGGTTTAAAATTGGAACTGTCTTAGTATGAGCACAATCCAAGATGATTGAGCACTGAAGCAGGCGTGTGGTGGTGGGGGGGGGGGATTGCTGGATAATATGCATGTGGAGGAGGGGCATTGCATGAAAACTTCTGGTATTGTAGCAGCATATGAACTGTGCCAGTGTGTCCTGGTTTAACCACCTTCTCCACATTTTCACTACAGCAAAGCTGCACCACAGAGGCATTGACCTGGACACCTCTGGGAATATCAATGGGCTCCCAGTGATTGAGGTGGATATGGAATTATTTGAGGACAAGCCTTGGAGAAAGCCTGGTAAGTGGAGAGTGAAAATAATACAATAGAATGAGTTGGATGCACATTGCCAAATACTTAATAACAAGTGGAATATCTTGTCTATTGTTCTTGGAACGTACAGTAACCCATGCTTTCCATCTTCTCTCACCCCAGGAGCCGATCAATCCGACTATTTTAACTATGGCTTCAATGAAGAGACTTGGAAATCTTATTGTGAGAAACAGCGAAGACTTCAGCTAGGATTGGATCCCATACTTCCATCTGGTTCAGAGAGCAAAATATCGGTACAGGAAGACTTATCTGCTCAAAGCAATATTAGTAACAGGATAGTAGTGCTTATGATGTTGAAAATCTTCAGAAAGAATGAGATGCAGGGATGATTGTAATGAATCATTTACTGCATTGCGACTGCATCCCTGTCAAGCTCCATCTCCCCATATCTATTCACATTTATCTGGTCTGGTTAATGGAGCAGAAAGGAGCTGAAAGCCTGGCTGTTTTCTCTCTCTCTCCTGTCTCTCTGTCTATGCGAGTTGATTGGGAAGGTTAAGAGAAACAGTTGTAATAAATGCTCCTGAATGCTCCTGCTGAGATCACCAATTGTAGGGAGTGGGGGGTGATCCTGGAACCTTCCTGGTATGTATTGCTCAGTCTCACCCCAAATGAGCAATGAGGGAACTACCTCTAATGGTCTTAAAGCTCCATCCAATTATATGTAAGAAGCTACAGTAATCTTATTAGGTATCTGATGTGTTTTCCCGGGCTATTTTTTGATTCAAGCTTTGCCTAAAGTCTTGTCTTTCATGGAATATGATTTTCAGGCCTCTCATTATCTAGGTACAGCAGGGCAGGACGGGCAATGCAGAGAAAGACACAGAAAACATTGTGGTGAAACCAGACTTCAAGAGTGAATTTACATCTCCACCCGGGGTCCGGATGAAGGCCGGTCCACCTCCGAATAGGTAAGGTGCACATTGGCAGGGAAGGTCACCATGTGGTTCAATCTGGCGTTTAACCACAAATGGATCTAGGTACAATCTAATATTAATAATAATAATTCTTGCATTTGATATAGCACCTTATCATGTCTTCAAGGCGTCTCAAAGCGCTTCACAGAATACACTGTAAAGTATAATGACTGTATTTTGTGGACGAAACGCAGCAGCCCATTGCGCACAGAGCTGTCCCACAAACAGTCGTGGAGTAAGTGGCCAAATTATTATTAACATTTTTTAACGGATTATTAGCCCCCAGAAAGCGATCCCCAATGGCATAACAACCGTGTTCCTACTTATTATTAGGTAAACAGAGAAAAATATCTGAAGCAACATTGCTGATGTATAATAAAATGTTTAACGATCTTTAATGGTTTATTGCCAATGTGTGAAGTACAAATTGCAGCAGCCTGGTGGCTTCAGTGAGGTTTGAGACAAGCCTTTATTTTCTTTGCCAAGCTGGTGGCCCTGGTTTTTAATCTCTGGCAAAGGGACCAGAGTCTGAGTGAAGGCCCCCCGAAACTCTGGATCACCCATACTCTGTTGAGGGATACAGTCAGTGTCGCCCACTTTAAGCAAGTGACATCCGGTCAGAGAGCTGACGCTGCTCATTTCAATTCACAACATTCTCATATTATTATGTAACAAATTGAATAAAAAAAAGTCTAAACCTGTGAACTTAGAACGACTGAAAATAAAAATACACAGGTCTTATTTATTGCATCACTAACATAGTGCAGCGTCGCTATAATGCAGTGTTTGGTATCCATACAATCCCAAACCGTGTTATAGTGAGAGTACAGTCAGTTTCTACTAATCCCAAACTAATGCCAGTAAAGAGATGCATTGGGGAAGCGGGGCAGAAGATGTATTTGTTGTGGTAGAAGGTGTCCTGGGGATATCTTAAATTAGTATATATGAAAGGCAATCATGCAAACAAAATATTGTGGAGTCCTGTAGCTCAGTGGTTAGAGCACTCGCTTTGCAAGCGAGACACCTGGGTTCAATTCCAGGCAGAGGGCGAAACCTTGGCCACGTTTCCTTACTCCACACAGAGCCTAATAATCCTCAAGAAAAAAAAACAAAAATAAATTTGTCATTTCAATCCATGACTGTTTGTGGGACACTGCTGTGCGCAATTGGCTGCCACATTTCGCCCACAAATATACAATCAATTCACTTTGCAGCCTATCTTGTGAAGCGCTTTGAGACGTCTAGGATACCTGAAGAGCGCTATATCAAATGCAAGGATTATTATTATTTGAAAAAGTTCTGTGAAAATTGGCTCAGTACAAATCCCGATACATGTCGCGACTGATTTGACACCACTTTCTGGAAGTAGTTTTGCGAACTGACTCGGAATCAAATTGGCGCGATTTCAAGCCTTTTTTTTTTTCGAATCGCACTTTCAAGTGTTTCGTCCTGTTATACAAAGTAACGTAAAGAAAATGCGACCACGGTTCAGCAGTTTTGTGGTTCTGCCTCTTTAGAATTATCAGATTTAATGTAAGATAAAGTTTTCCCTTCAGGAAACTTGCTGGGACAATTGATGTAATTGGCGGGCACACGGGCCCTATCAGGAGGGTAGAAGGAAGGCGTCGAGACAAACATGGAGGCGATGAGAGTGCAATTCAGGTACTGGTACTGTAACGAGTGTCGAGCTTCATCCTCCCTTTGCTAGTCTATCTGTAAGTCGTGTTTGACACCCCACGCGTGTTAGTCTTGCTTACAGTTCTGTGGGAGACGCAGGGGCATTATGTATTGTTGCTCCCAGCACTTCCCATCAATTCGCTGAAAGAAATGAGCTGCGATAGGCATGGGGAGCAAAGTGAAGAGAAACAGGAGCCAGGTCTGATGTAAGGTCGCAGTAGGGCAAGCTTTGAAAACGATTGCCATGTAGACTGTATTGCTCCTCTGGAGCGTCTGTAATGAACTCTTCATTCTTTTTAGCAGACTCTCTCTCGGTCCTCACTCTGAAGACTATTTACTCGTGTCGGACATTGCCTTTTGTAACATGTACTGACAATGTTTTGAGGTGTGCACTGTTAGCAAATCCAACAGAGAACGACATAGCGATTTGGCAGAGTTTTATTCAGCAAGATGATTGAGCGAGAATGCGGGAGAGTATTTTTCAAACGTATTTACTTTGGAACATGCTAGACTGGCCTGAGTTAGTTTTTTTTTGTCTGTTCTATAACCTATGTTTGTATGTACTGTTCTCGATGCTTGCTGCTGTTTTTACTACTTCGCCCATCTTTACACTTTGGGGTCGGATCCTCAGCGGCTGTCTTCATTAAATCAGAAACATTTTTCCTGTGTGTTAGGTTCTTGGAGACCATGGAAATAAAAGACCGCCATTTGGGCCCCCGACTGGCCCCCCTCCCCCTCCAATGCCAGGACCTCCCCCTCACTTCCTGAACCCTCCCCCTCCCACCTCGGCTGGCCCACCCCCCATGCACCCGCCAGGTAAGGAACTTCTAATTGGTATTGCCTTCTGCGACCAGCCGGATGACCAACCAGCCGAAGAGATTGACTGGGGGAGAAACACTTATTTCTGGTAAAATGGGAGACTTCTTAATAGGACTTTTTAATACCTATTTCCTAAAATAGGATAATGATTAAATTATCCTGTTTTAAAACCCCAGGTTTCACAGCTCCGTAGCAGATCTTTATCAGCTTGAAATAAATCGGCGCTCTACTCCTGGCTTGTTGAATGTCATTCAACTGAATTTGGGAGGGTCATCTCACTGTCTGATTAGGGTCAATAATTTGTGTCAAATCTTAAATTCATATGTCCAGGCCAGGGAATCCCGCCCAACCAGACAATTCAGCCCCAAAATATTTATTGCCATTGACATGAGCAAAAGCTGCAGCGAAGATTGGAAATGTGCAAGAGGAGCAATTTCAGAAAGGAAACATTAAACCCTGAATGCTGAGGCTTTAAATGAGATCAGTATATTTGAATATTTTGGAATGATTTGCCTGGTCATGATTCCCAGACACTGACCTAAGTAATTTCTTTATTTCTTAATTGAACTGCTAAGCTTGATCTAATTGTGTACCTTGCCAGTCTGATGTAAGTCAGTGAAACATGCCTTTTGTGTTTGCAGGAATGCCTCCACCCGGACCTCTGCCAGGTGAGTTACTTTAAATTATCCTGTGACTGTGTAAGAGGGACTGCGATCTGGTGAAACGTCATATGTGAATTGTTTGGTTCGGCAACTCGATGCCAGTGCTTGCAATGGCAGTTCTGCATGTGCTTTTAGCTAGTTGTAAAACTCGCACTTGGTTCTTGCCAACATGCAACTAAACTCTCCGGGATTAGTTAAGGAGGGTGCAGCTCTCCGAGAAAGAGAGAGAGAGCCCGCACGGCATTATAAGGCAAACGTATACCAGATATAGGTAGAACATTCAGTGGTTTAGTTCAAGATTCTTGTTCACTCTTCATCCCAATTTTACTGCGTCTCTGAATTAATTTTATTGTGTTGAATATAAACTTTTTATGCTATTTTTTTGCAGGGCTGTTTCCGCCTCCCATGCCACCTCCTCCATCGTTAATGCTGCCATCGATGGATGGGTAAGGCATTTAGAGCAGGTCACCTTAGAGAGGTTCTTATGAATGGGATTCTCAATTCTAGAGAGGGGGGAGATAGCATCGCACATGCGCGCGCACACACACATGCACACGCACACACACACACACACGTGTGTGCACACATACACACGTGCACACATACACACAGTATTGCTATTCTAAAAAGAAGTCTCTAACTGTGCATAAATTGGAAACTGATTGAACTCAGAGCAAAGTGTGTGGGAAACAATGGAGATGTAAAATAGTCCTTGCATGTCCTGAACATGCTTTTCAGTAACTGCAAGTTGGGTGGATTTGTCCTGCTCCAACAAAGCTTTCACTTCTGGGGGGAGTCCATAACACACAGTCACTACATCATATCCTGCAAAGCGCTTTGAGAGACCCTCTAGACTTGAAAGGCGCTTTACCAAATGTATGGATCATTAAGTAATTAACTACGCCTCTGCCAACACTGCTCTTCATCTGACCACAGGGAGGCTCTTGAGAGTTGTTCAAACGAGAACCTCTATTGTAAAGTGTCTTTCACTTAGGCCTGCGTCTCAGAGTGCTTCACAGAGACGAACTCTATGCTGCCTCTTTGCCCCATCGATGACCATTTCTTGTACCTCTTCCAGGGGCCCACCTACCAACTATGACAACAGACCCCCACCTCCATTCGCATTCGCCACCCCAGGTAACATTAGTCCAGTGGAAATACTCGTGTAGAATCCGGGAATACATGCGTATGCATTATTAATAATCATTTCCATCTATATTTCCTTTTTGTCCTGGGTGTTATGTCGGTCAAACCTTTTCTATATTAGCGTAACTGAATGTTAGTGGAGGCTACTACAGCTGGTGCTACTCTGACAGACTGGAATGCTAACATCTCATTTTGGTTTTCCAGTCAGTGTCTTACTGTCCTTATGTTGACACCCAGCCTGGAATCAAAAGAACACTGCGTGCCAGGTGATGAAATTACCTGGCGCTTTTTCAACACTAATGTTCAGAGGAGATGACAGAAACAACTGACTGCCATGCCTCAAGGGTGGTAGCTTGTATAGCAACATCTTTCCGACGCGAAGGGCGTTGTACAAGTGTAATTTGTTGTTGTAGCGTAGTTTGCATCTCCGCTGCAGGTAGATGCCAGTGTTGAAGCGAAAACTCTACACCACCACCCTTGAGGCATTGCAGTCATTTGTTCCACCAACATTAGGTTTGCTGGCACCTTTGGAGTGCCCACGACAAACTCAGTGTGCATCTGTCCCTCCTTTCCCCTCCTCTCTGAACGCTGATGTTTCTGTGTGTAGGTGTTGAATCTGTCACTTTGTGCACTTCAAACGGCATTGTTAAATATTTTTTCTTTCTCTGCGAATTGTTTTCTCAGCCTCTCTCCTCTTTTCATTTGCTTTTCAGACTCCGGCCTGATCGGCTACCCTCCTATCTCCACGTCACATGCTCCCTGGGTCACCACCGCTGACAAGGGCGTGAACAACCCTATGGGTCACTGGGATTACCCCCCGGGTCCCCGGCGAGAGAGAGAACAACGCGAGAGGGAGCACGAACGAGATCGCACGCCCACAACGAATGACTACCCCAAGTTAGTGATCGGATGGCCCTTTAGTAGCTGATGTTGTTCGTGAGATACGTATTTCGTTCAGTAAATCCAGTTGGCAAACTGGGCCATTCTAGGGCTTATTTCCAATGAATTAATTAGTTTAAGGAAAACAACATGTAATCAATCCAGTTTGGGGTTCAGATAATGAATGCTCTTCATCCCACTTGATCTTATTCTCCTAAATCCCTGCCATCTTATTGTTGCAGCATCCAGTTTCTTAAATGAATGAGGCGAGCGTCTTGCTGGAAACCCCTTCACCACCCGTGTAAACAAATACTTCCTGGCATCCTAAAATTGCCCTTTATAATCTTTAAAGTATAATCTCTTTGTGTTTGAACTTTTTGTTTCTCAGTGCCATTCGGCATTTAATAGATGACTCAAACACCCCAAAAGACTTGTTTTCACTGATTTTCCCCCGTTCCTTCCCTCTGTGGGTTGTAATCTTGGTTCGGTCTGTCTTGCTTTGCTGCAGTGAAGATGAGCGCTATCGTATCTACAGCAGAGAGCGGAACTATGAGCGGGATTATCACCGGAGCAGAGAACGCAGCAGGGAGCGGGAGGAACGTCACCGAGAGCGGAGGCACAGGGACAAGGACGAGACCAAGCACAAGTCATCTCGACGGTACGGTGGTTGGTCAAGTTTTTTTTGTCGGCGAGGTGAGGGAGGGAGGGTCAGTGGGTGCTTTTCCCTTTGTGGACTTGAGCTGCAAGATGCAGGGAAGCTAAAATTATCAACCCAGTGGATGTTAAATGATCCACATTCGACTTTGGGTCTCAGTACAGCCTCTGTACAAGCCGCAGACTAGAGATTGTCCACCAGATGGGGCAGAGTCCCAGCTCTCTGGTATCTCAATGACTAATTGTGGTATTACACAATGATTATTTTCTGAAACAGTCAATTGAACAACGGCTGAGCCCAATCCTCTCTCTCACACACACAGCTTCAGTAGGAGTTGTTGCATAGCAGCCAGAATTGCTGTTTTCCCCCCTTTTTTTCTTCCCTAACTTTCCACCCTCCCCCACCGTGTGATATATTTTGCCCTTAAAATCAAGGTTGCCTTTGCATTAGATACCAATCATTATGGGCCGTGTGTATATACAAGCCTACTTACATTGCACGTTATACAGCACGAGCAGTGTTGACAAAGCTTGTATAAGGTTACAAGTCAGAGCAGGAGCACATCAGTGGGTGACAGCTGTCCTTGGCCTGGCTCCAACATACACAACGCAACCCTGTGGGTCGTGTCTCATTGTTTAATCTCCCTCGGTTTCTACAGCAAACAGCACGAGAACGAGGAGGGGGAGAGTCACCGGCGGCATAAACACAAGAAGAATAAGCGAAGCAAGGAGGATAAAGAAGCAACCGAGGAAAGTGTGGCGGAGACAGAGGAAACTGAGCCTAAAGAATGAGCTGAACAGAGCGAGTCTAAGAGGAAGAACTCTGCTTAGGATAGACCGAGACTTCCGGTACTCTAGCCCTCTGTTAAAAGGGCCACACAGGTGTGGTTAAAGGAAGGTGCTGTGAACAGTGGTGTCAAACCTTCCACCGGTGGTATTTCCTGGGCAGGTGAAAAAAAAACTTACTGTTGTTTCTCAAAAGCCTGATTATTTCTACACGCTTTATAACACTGTTACACTTTTTTTTTGTAAAATGTGCTTGTGAAACAAAGAAAAATTATTAAAATGTTTTTCTAAATATGGCTGTCGGCCGGTAACATTTTTCACAAGTGATAGCAAATGTGAGCTTGTAGCTTTGTTACTCGTTTTTGCAAAAGTTAGGCACAACTCAATACAGGTACTATTTTCTCAAGGATTATTTATAAAATCAAACCTTTTAGTTTACAATATGTCAGTTGTACAACCATTTAAGGCAACGGACCAGATATAAATCACATTGTGGGTTAAAAATAGTGTAATTGTGAAATCCATCTGCATCTTAAAAAATACCTTTCATTTTTATGCTACGTTACCTACTTGAGCTGGTGGGGAGCGACCGATTGGAGGGTTTAAATGTACAAATCTAATTGTACATAGTTGCCTGAATGGATGTTATGGGTGGAATTCTATTTCTAATTGGGGGCGGGGGTGGGGGGGGTGGGCAAGGGGTATTAACCCTTAAGAAGCCATAATAGGTTGGGAGCTTCGAAAAGCAGCTACATACAGCTTCAGAAACTGCATTGAAATGGAGGAGTCATTTTAGCACAGTTAGTCCCAGGATCACACAAGCTGGAATTTCCCCCACTTGTTCGCCCCCTTCCCCTCCGCATTTATTTTATGTTTCTTTTAAGTTGTGCACTTATTACCTTTCAGCTAAAAGGCAAAGGTAACTTGGTCAACTTGGTTCTTGTCAACACCACGTTCACATGTGCTACCTGGAATGACGTGCACCTTGAGACATCCCTTCTGACGCGAAGGATGCTATTAGAAGTGTCACTTGTTATTGCGAACTCCAGTCTGCTCACGGTGACTTGAGATTTGCCTCACGATCAGTTGCTCTGGTGGGCTGAGTGAGGGGTGACAATTATCCCTGATTTTCCCCTGAGGCTCACAAGGTAGATCAAAGGGTTGGGTTGAGAAATGCATCAGACCCACAGGCTGGTCGCAACACCACCAATACCTACAGGCAGAGGTGAGCGGGGTTGGCCAACAATCAAGTAAGCACTCTTACACTATTCAATCTGACGCACCATTCAAAACTGTTTGTGTGCGTTGGCTCGGAGGGGTGAGGAGGCTAGGCTCTGAAGTGTTAACTTGTTTCGGCTGAGCATTACTACAGAAGGCCACTGAAATCCATTGCAATGTCATTTCTAAAGAGCGTACACACGCACAGCAACAAGAGTTTCATCTCCCTGGGTTAGCAGTCACCATGACGCGCCACAGCAAGTCATGACATCCAACAAAAAAAAAAACAGCTAATTTTGCAGCATTGATGGATCAGGTTTACACACGCCTTCGTGTGACGGAAACCTTATCCTGGTGATGTCCCTAGCCACAGGTGAGGAGTGTGGAAACTCGAGAGCGGATCGGAGTCTTGTGCTTTCTCCCATGACCTTGATTCTTAACGGCATTACAACTGGTTTCAACGGCAAATTGCGACGTGCAAATGAATGAGTTGAAGCCAGAGGGTCTTGAGATAGAAAGAAAATTGCAGCGATGGTGATCAGTTATTTGTCCCGTTGGATGTGACTTGGATAGTCAGGTTTTTTGTTGGTTTATGTGTGTGTGTGTGTGTGTGTGTCTCTCCCCATATCCTATCATCTTTTAAGCGAGGCTTGATTGTCATGGACTCTCCTTCCTTTCACACAAGGCTTCCTGGCCAGGACACCACAGTCAAAGTGACCCTGTTCCTCTGTTCTTTCAGCATCGGGATCACAGCAGAGTTGCTCAGGCCCACAGCCGAGACTCCATTCACAGCCACAATCTCATCCCCGCATCTAAAGGGGAAAAGGAATGGAAAAATCGCAACTTTATTCTCACACTAAAACATTCCTGGGCTTCACTTCTCTCTCTCTCACACACACACACACACACAAACTTAAGGGGAAAATGGATGAACGATGCGGTAAAGTTGGAACAGGTTTATTCTGTTTCTATCCCTTTCACTGCTGCGCTCCCCACCCCCCCCACCCCCCCCACAAATAAGACCGAGTCATTAAAATCTGTTAAGAATCCCAGCTGAGATCAGCTCACAACACAAAAGGATCAAACCCTTTGATGTGTGTTGCTCGTTGCCCAGCCGTAGCTCAGCCGCCAGGGAACATCGTGGGGGGGGGAGTGGGGGTTAACATTTTAAAGAGATGAGAGGGGAAGAAGTGGAATTTTGGTTAATTGCCGCAAAAGAAACAAAAATGTTCAAATGTAGCTTGGGTTTCAATCTATTCGCCGTTTTAGATATTTTACAAGGCAAAATAAAATCCCCACATTTGGTCCATATCCGTCTACAAACCGGATTTAGACAGCAGCTGATTTTACGGAGATTTGACTTACTTTAATCTTCCATCAAAGTACGCCGAAGTGCCGGGCACAATGGTCTTGATGAAGAAGGGCTGGTTCCCGTGAGTCTCCTCGAAGCCTCCGACGATGCTGAACCCCCAGCTCTCAGAGTTGTTCTTGTGCAGAATAATGTCGTTGCAGCAATGAAGGTAACTGAACATAGGGAACAGAAGGGTGGGGGTGAAGGAGGGGAAGGGATATTACTGTCAATAATTCCACCCAGTGTCCTGGCTGACATTCCCTCATCCAATTCATCAGAATGGATCATTTGCTTATTTTGTTGGATCAGTAATACAGTATCACAAAACATCCTGAATATTCATTCGTCCCCACCAGACAAACATAACCTTCCCTTTTAGAGGCAATCCCCTCCCAAGTACACAAGCCATTCATTGTGCCCTGTGGGGTAATTGGCTGGTTCTCCAGTCTGCACTTGTCCCTATGTGATCCTTGAACAGATATTTATTTCTGCTTTTGAGTGGAGCATGTTCTATGCATTCGCCACATGTCAGAAAAAGTCTTTAATTTCTAGTTTGATCGAAAGCTTTTTTTAAAAAAAATTATTTGAAACCTATATGTGTATATATATATATATATATATAATCCTCCATTTTCTGCTTCAAGTCAAATAACCTGCCTTGTGTATTTTAGTTTCTGCTCGTCTCGGCTAAAACAGCTGTGAAACAGCGTGTTCGTGAATGAATGGTTTAGGGTATTTGCTGCACAATAGTCCAACACCAATGCTACTGGCAGATGGAGAGCAGGTGGGGATGGAGTAAGTGTGTGCGTGTGTGTGTATGCAGTTGGTGCTGAATAGATGCAAATTTGAGGCATTATTTAATTTGTACGCTGACGTTGGCTGCCACGGCGGCATGTTATCAGTGGGAGGACAAAAAAAAACATCTCCGTGATATAGAAAGAGTTCACTCACTGAATGCCCAACCTCTGCTTGGCTCTTGCCAACCTGAGAACCAATACTTTCCGGAATTAGGTAAGCGTGATGGATGCATCCCTACTGGGAAAAGGCACGCATTCCATTCCAACACCCATATCTCTGGGATTTCCATGTGGAGGTGGGATATTTGGAACTCAATTTGCTTTGGCTCACACGGGCTTTGTGAAAATTTTTTTCCCCCCCCTCCTCCTCCTCCTCATCATCATTTTGCAGTAGAAGTGCTGCTGCTCAGTATTCTCGATCAGAACCGTGGCTCACCTCGGCAGCCCAAGCCACATGATCCACAGCGGGGCCCAATCGTACTCGTTGTCCTTGCTGGGTTCGGGGGGCTCGTCATCCCCCAGGGCCGGGGGGCTCTCCTCGGAGCTGGGAAACTCCAGGGCCCTCAGCAGCACAGAGGCGGAGGCAGCGTTCACCTTGAGAACAGACACGGCCTCGCTGTAACTCAGCTGTGTCAGGTCCACTCCGTTTATGCTCAGCAGCACGTCTCCTGCGAGGGAGGGAGGGAAGGAGGGAAAGGAAAGAATAATAATGATAAGCTTTTGCATTTGACATGGCGCTATATCACGTCGTCGAGTGCTTTTGAGATCTCTCAATGCTCTTTCCCCCAATTCCCTGTCCCCCCCCCCCCACCCCCCCAATTCCCTGCTCTCCAGGGAGAGAGAGTGTGCATCCTATTCCAACAGGGATTTCCACGTGTAGGTGGGACGCATGGAATTCTCAGCTTGGTTTGGATACTCTTAAGCAACGGTGATGGGTTTCCGCATCTGTCAAGACTCCCGGGCTAACCAAAATAACGTCCTTGCTCTTTCCCTGCTCAACTCCCTGCTAGATTGCTCCTCTTCAAATACTTAACAAGTTGCAATTATATCTTATAGGTCTGAAGGGCTAGCAGAGTTATCACAGGAATTTGTGAACTCCAACCGTGCCAAATGAGAGCCAGAGGTTGCCAAACTGTAGGCTATATCTTCGCTGATGTTATTTCACCTCCCTCGCACAACTGGGGCCAGAAAACTAGTTGTACAATTGTTCTGACTCAACACTGAACCAAACCGGTGGAAGGCAGTGAGCGAAACCAGTTCCGAAGCACCCGAGGTAGAATCCGACGAGCCAGGTGGGACTCGCTGCCGTATTCTTGCCCCATTGGCAAGGCAGAATCCCGCTGCGAGACGTAGCATCGTTTACCCTCAATACCAAACCCAGGCGGTTGCACGCAGTTAAAAATACCTCTGGATTTGAAAGGGCGAGAGCCAGCAAAGGGCGACTCTGGAATGTGGGAAATGTTACCTTTGGCTCACTGCCAACGGGAACCTGAAAATCAAGTACGGCGCTCGCCTTTATCTCGGCCCTTTCGCAGGCAACGGAGCGCGACTCTGTAACATTTACCTCGTTTGATTCTGCGATCCCGGAAGAGACAGCCGACGGGCTGGACACTCGTCACATAAATGGGAACTTTATATTTGTTCTCACGCCCTCCTGAAATAGTTATTCCCAGAGACTCCCTTGGCTCCTTCTTCACCACGATAGTCTTCTCCAGGCACAGGGTAGACTGTGAGGGGTCCTGGGGCGAGGGGAGAGAGAAAGAGAGCGGATCAGTTTAGAATCTCGGAGGTGGATTGTCGGAGGTGCCGTCCTTTGGATGAGACTTTAAAAGCGAGGTCCTGCTTTGGGACGTCCCGACAAGATGATGTGGCAAAGATTATTAATTCCAGCCTTACGTTTTCTATTCTCCCCCCACAACAAAAAGGATTTATTTCACAGGGATGAGGGACTGACTGGATTCACCTTCACTGACAGGATTTGAAGCTTTTGGTCCTTCTGGTTACAACAGAAACAAACGATTTGCATTTATACAAATCCTTACTCTTGAGTTTTTCATTATTAATTATGTCTTTTTTTTTAAAGAAAGAGTGTGGAGCTGTTATGTCCAATATCTTTTCATCGCGTTGGTGAAAGTTTTCATCACCGAGTTGATATGTGTAAACACGTCTAACGTGCAGTTTGAACATTGAACAGCGCCTTGGGATGTCCTCTCGACGCGAAAGGCGCTATACAAAGGCAATTTGTTCTTGCTGAACATCTTATGCAGACCTGCTATGAATAAGGACTTTTGATTCACCCCCATACAGTACCTCTCGCATTGGGGAGGATGCCTCAAAGCGCTTTACATCCAAGAGCCACATCCGCATGTTACAGTCACCAGCAAGAGTTCTTTCACAGAGCGAGAAACAGACCAACGCCGCCTTGAGAGCAAGTACGTCAATACAGACAAATACATTTTCCCGCTGTACATCCGTGATATTGTCATCAGGGAGACAGGAAGAGCAGGAGGAAGTCATTCATTCCCCAGGCAACCATTATGATGAATAAATAGATTAGGCCGGCGTGGCGGGCAGCCAGAGCTGGAGCCATCCTGAAGATTCCCACGACCAAAGGGTCATACGGCATTTATAGGGACACAGATGTGCCCGGGACTAGAGCAGAGCACCGAGGTCTGCCCATCAGGCTCCGAATGCAACAAAGAAGCTTTGCGGTTTTAGCTGTTAAACTCCGGCAGTTGCCCCCAAGCCTGGGCTCTTGCTAACCTGAGCCTAATTAATAATTAAGATCCAGAATGAATAATAATAATAATAATAATAATCCTTGCACAAAATACTGCAGAGGCTGGAAATCTGAAAGAAAAACAGAGAGAGTTGGGAAAACCCAGCAGGTCAGGCAGCGTCTCCGGAGAAAGGAAAGTGAGTCCATGTTTCGGGTCCACGACCCTTCGTCAGAACCCCGAAAGGCTGACTCACTTTTCCTTTCTCCATAGATGCTGCCTGACCTGCTGAGTGTTCCCAATTCTCTCTGCTTTTATTTCATAACAATCCTTGCATTTGATACAACGCTTTATCGAGTCGTTGCGACGTCTCGAAGCGCTTCGCAGGATATACTCCGAAAAGTGGATCGATGTGTTTTGTGGACAGCCAGTTTGCCTCCCTCCTCTTTTCGAATAGCGCCGTGGGATCTTTAACGTCCACCTGCACAGGTAGACGAGGACCTCCGTTTAACAGCTCATCTGAAGGACGGCACCTCCAGAGCTGCATTGGAGCGTCATCTTAGACTGTGCGATTCCAAGTCCTGACGTGGGAATTGAACCCACAACCTTCTGACTCCAGAGAGTTTCTGCATTTGTTGACGTCAGGCTGACCCCAAAAAAATATCTGCTTATTCGCCAAATGCAGTAGACGCGGCGCAGCCACCCATCTCTCTGTCCCACCCCACCCCAGCTCCTCACCTTCTGGTAGTGGGAGCGCCGACGGCAGTATTGCTGGGCTTTGCCGCGATGACGTGGGGGGCTGCTGTTGCTGCAGCCGGCCTCCTCCATTATTTCCGGCGCCTTCTCGGCATCCCTCTGTATCACAAAGCTGACGTTTCCCTCGCTGCACTGCGACAGACCACAACAACAACAAGTAACCTTTACAGCGGCCTTCGTTCACACAGGGCGAAGCCTCTGAGAGACGGTGTCAGAGGGAGGGTAGAGGAGAAATAATATAACAAAAATCTTTTCGAATTGTGCCATAGGATCTTTGTGGTATCCACCCCCTCCCCAGCATTGCACTGGAGTATCAGCTTAAATCAGTGATGGCGAATCAGTGGCCCGTGGGCCGGATGTGGCCCCTGTGGCCAAAAAAGAAGAGCCTCCCACCGCACGCGCACCCATCCCCACCCCGAACATTCGCACGGGTTTAGGCAAGTCTTCGATTCTTTGTGTGTTTTCACTTTTTTTCTTGATTGAATAGTTCTTGATTTTGTGGCATTAATCAAGAAATATTCCATGAGTTCAAAGTCCTGACTTGAGGGCTTGAAAAGCTAAAGTGCAGAAGAAGGACATTTGGCCCATCGAGTCTGCCCCAGCTCTCTGAGCAAGCCACCCATTCAATCCCCCTGCCCTGCCCTGTCCCCACACTCCATCAAGCCTTTACCTTTCATCCGATGTCCATTTCTCGCTTGAAACCCACACTGCTAGCTGGTGACATTGGGGGGAGAACCACTTGGGAGAGATGAACTTACCTGTATAATTTGTGCTGCAATTTCAGGCGTCCCGTTTTTCAGGTCCTGTTTATTGATCATGAGAACCTTGTCGTTATTTTGGAGCTTCCCATCCCGAGAGGCCAAGCCCCCGGCCAGCAGGTCCAGGATAAACACCCCCGTCTCATCCGCCTTCCGGATCAGCTTGATGCCCAGAGGCTCGCTCCGGTCTCTCTTGTACAGAATGACATGGAGAGTCTGTTTGGTGCCTCCTCCGCTGCTTTCCTTTGAGGGCCGTCTGCTCGCGAAGCCCCTCTCCTGCAGCACGGTGAGACGCAGCACGGAGCAGGGCTGCCGCAGGATACCGATGGCATAGCTGTGAGGGACAGTGGTCACGTTTATACCATTCACCTGGAGAGACAGAGGGAGACATATCCGATTACCAGGATGTTCAACCATGGAATTAGTGCGATCAGAATACATTTCTTCCCACTGCCAGGACCACCCTGCCTGTTCGGGCTTTGGTTAACGGGAGCCGAGTGGGAAAAATCCCTAACGTCAGACAAGAGCTCATTAACGTGCTTGGGACTGCCAGAATGGTGGAAGGACAACTGGATGGAACTTGGTCTTTCTTCGACTATAATTTCCTATGTTACTAAAAACTCATCAGATTTCTAAAGTCACATCTGGGGTGCCATCTGATGAGCCAGTTACCTCTGATATATGGTCTCCAGGTGCAAGCTTCCCATTTCTAGCTGTGATGCTGTCCCGAAGGATCTCCTGGATCACTATGTTGCATAGTGGGGTGTCTTTGCCCCCCACCACTTGGATACCCAACTCCTCCTGAGGGTCAGCTCGATGGATCTCAACGACGGTGGTTTCTGCTAAAAGACTGGACAGCCTGGGCTGGTACGCTGCAAAAGACACACAATGTGAAGCTATGGGAGGAAATGGCCAGAGAGGAAAGTAAAAGGATTCTAGTGTTACAGCCCGTAATGTGCTGGACGTCAGTTTGAGACACTGTGTTGTCTGAAGTTATTATTAATAATCCTTGCATTTGAGAGATATATATATATATTGTGCCTTATCACATCGTGAAGGTGTCTCAAAGCACTTCACAGGATACTCTAAAGTGGATTGACTGTATATTGTAGACAAAGCACGACAGCCAGATTGCGCATAACAGTGTGGAGTGAGCGACCAATTTTATTTGGAGGATTGTTGGCCAGGACACCGGGAGAGAGAGAGAGAGAGAAACTCGCTTCGCTTTTCGAGTAATGTCATGGGTTCTTTAAAGTCCACCCGAACAGCCAGACGGAACCTCGGTTTGACGTCTCATCCGAAGAACTAACCTCCGAGCAAGGAAGACGACAGCCATTTCTGATTAAAAGCTCCACTTTGCAAGACTCGCTGCGAGTGAGTCGGTTACGAGGGGGCATCAATTTCAGATCATTCATTAACCGCTTAAACAAAAGAGAGTGGTTCGAGGGGCCGGGCACTGCCTCTGTAAACTAGCTTCAGGAGACGCCACTCTACATGAAAGACTTTACGTGTGAAAAGCAAGTCGTTATTCGGACATGGGGGTGGGGGGGGGGGGGAGACAGCGACTGGAGCAAGAATCCAGAGCGGCTTTTGGAGGGGAATGAAGAGAAATGCGCGACAAAGAAAAACATGAAAGGCTGTGCGAGTGTGGAGGAGGGGAGGAAAGGGAGGAAAACAAGAGAGCTCTTACTGAGAACCAAGCCAGGCATGACTGACTGACTGTGAGATTCTATAACTCATTGTGACTTGAATCTATTTAGATCTGAGCAGCACAAACTGAGGACCGTACTATCCCACCGGGCAGGAAGGAGCCTGTGTGTGAGAGAGAACGGCACATCCTATCGGTCTCTCTCTTCATTTTTTGATTAAAATAAAACACAAGGAATCTCAAGTCCTGGAAATGAAACTCACTCACTCTGTTTAACACCAGTTTCGGGCACTCCCAGTTCCGAGTGCAGCACAAATCAAAGGTCCCTTCAGTTACCCTGTGTTCCTCTACATCACTCACCTACCGACACATTGCCACTTTATAATCACCCCACTACACACACGTACCACCACCTCCTCCTACTCTCCCCACCCCCTCCCGAACTTCTCCCAGCGACAGATCGCCTCTCCAGAGCTCCCTCTGAAAATGCTGAACACCCACATGCAAATGCCTCCAACTGAGCGATTCGAATGCGACGTGTAAGCAGTTTACAGAAGCATCGACACTGTTGCTTAGTCACAAGACAAACATTCCTACCCTCTATTTGCAGGAGGCTCGGGTGCATCCTGCTAGCCTGATCCTGGAAAGTATTAGGTGCAGGTTGACGAGAGACAAGGCATGGGGGACCCCAGAGGGTGCGGTGCGGTAACTGCTGGAGTCTATCCAGTTAAAACCATATAGCTTGCCATTGAGAGCACTGACTGGCAAGCTTTCCCACCGCTTGTCCAGGTAGGACCACCCTTCTCGTTAGGGCTTGGCTTGCTAAGCCCTATGCAATGCCACTCACCATTGTCCTCAAGATCCTCCTCAAAAGCAGGGTTGACCAGACCGGGCTCAGCGGTCCCAACAGCGGTCTCAGCAGCCACTGTCCCGTCAACAGGAACTGAACTACCATCAGAGTCTTTCCTCAGATCCTGGCTTCTCTTCAAACTTTCCAGCCGCCTTCTCTCAATCCCATCTCTGTGTTTCTTAAGACCAGGACACCTAGAGCATAGGATGGGGTGGTGGAGGGGGAAAAAAAAACTTATAAAGTTAAGTTTTTTTAACGCTATGTTCATCGCTATCAACATGGTTACCTTGTTTCATTTGAACGAGGGCCAATTTCCCACTAAACCTAGTGAACATAGAAAGAGCAAAGTGGGACCGAGAGTGGAAGAAAGACTCACATTTTTATCGCGCCTTATAAATTCAGTGGTGATAACAGTCAAGTGTGGTGACACTTTGTCTTACTAAATACGGCAGCTGATTTGAGTCAGCCATGCCTTAATTAACGTGGTGGTTGGCCGGGGTAATGGAGTGGTTTAAAAAAAACTCTTTTCTTCTCTTTCCAAAAGGTGCAGTAGGATCCTTTAACGTCAATGTGAGGAACAGGCAGATGGGACCTTGGTTTAAGGTCTCATCCCAAACACGGCATCCCCAACAATGCAGCTACCCCCTGTCCGTCCGCCTGTCCCATCCCATCCCCCCCCCACCAGCTCTGTACTGGAGTCAGTCTTAACCATAAGCTCAAAGTCCTGATGTGGGGCTTGAACCCACAACCTTCTGACCCTGAGTTTGGGAATGGTTCTCCAATGCCCTCAAGCACGGATCTCAGTGAGCAAACGGTGTAACCAGGCGCTCTGAAACCTGACCTCCCTCCAATGAGCGAGCGCTCAATCGCTCACACCCACACAACCCAGTCTTGCTTCCCATTGATGATTAACAAGCCTGTCCACACTTTGTCACTGCCATTGTGAAACTCATTCCAATAAGACCTTGTTTACCAACAGATCGATCCGTAGCAACAGTGTAAAAAGTCAGGAGTTCAAGCACTCCTGTTGGTATACAAGGCCAGGGCTTCACGTGGTATTGCTGTAGATTACCATTCTCCCAGTTACCCTGAGTATGTCTAATCTCACCTGATCTCAGAGATTGAACTCCCACTCATAGAAATATAGAAAGAGGAGTAGGCCATTCTGACTCTCGAGCCTGATCTGCCACTGTGTAAGATCAACAACAACAACAAGATTGCATTTATAGAGTGCCTTTCACGTCGAGAGGACGTCCCAAGGCGCTGGACAGTTGGGTCGGGACCCGAGCAGGGCTGATCTGTACCTCAAGTCCAATTTCCTGCCCTTGCACTGTATCCATTAATCCCCTGACCTAACAAATATCTATTCACCTCCGTCCTGAAGATTTGAATGGATCCAACATCCACAGCCTTTTGGGGGAGAGAGTTCCAGAGTTCCACTACCGTTTGGGTGAAAAATTGCTTCTTGATTTCACTCCTAATCGGCCTAGCTCTAATTTTAAGATGATGACCCCCTTGTTCTGGGTTCCTAACAGAGGCAATAGTTTCTCTCGGGGACTCAAATACCTTTCAGAGTTCACATCTGGACTACAATTAGTCCTGGACTAACCTCCAATTTTATTGGGACCCTAAGCCCACAGAAGACAGGGTCTCACTTACCTGTTCTGTAGGTGGGCTTCAAGCTCACACCGCTGCATGATGGCCTCGCAATCGGAGCGGAAGGGGCAGATGACGGGCAACTTGTCTAGAAGGTTCCGCACCAGGTGACTGGACCTGCGGCAGTGCTGGAGGTGCAGTCGCTTGCGGTCCATGGGGCAGAAGTCCTGCTCCTGCAAGAAGTTCTCCAGGCACTTGAAGCAGAAGGTGTGGCCGCAGGGAGTGTCCAGCGGCTGCACCAGGGGCTGGAGGCAGATGTGACAGACCAGCTCATCGTCCACCTCCTCCCCATAGTCGTACAGATGGTTCTCGAGCACCAGGTGAAGCTGAGCGCATTCCGAGCACAAGTCACTGCTGGGGCAAGCAGCCTCTTCTGGGTTTGGTTCGCTCATGGTTTGGCAATCGGACCTTTTGCTCCTCAAGCCCCCGCCCCCCCCCCCCCCACCCACCCCACACACGCACAGCCAACACGACCCCCTGCCTCTCCCCCTCTTCTTCCTTCCACAAACCCCTCAGTTCCACCTTTGATCCTCGACTCGTTCAACCGCTCGGAGGCTAATCTGCAGCGAGAGGTCAAATCGAGAGAAAAAAAAGACATTAGTATTTTAGTACAGACATTTGTATAAACAAGGTATTTATAGTGTAATTCACCCCAGGAGAGTTAACCTAAATTTAACCTATAATGAATATCTCAGTCTGGAAACAGGAATTTACCAATAACATTTACAATCCTGGTCAGATGCCCACTGGTTAGACTTTGCATAATAAATAGATATTATATATATATATATAATCCTTGTGTTAAAGATCTCTGCGGCACTATTCGAAAAGAAAAGGGAGTTTTCCCTCCCCGGTGTCCTGACCGACAATTCCCCCCCCGCCCGATAAATGGATAAAAATCGGTCGTTCACTTCATTGTTGCGGGACATCGCTGGGCACAAAGTGTTTGTCGCTCGCTGTCGCCTGCAGAGCACACAGTCACTACACTGGCCAGTGTATCCTGTGAAGCGCTTTGAGACGTCTCAATAACTTGATAAGGCGCCAGATCAAATGCAAGGATCATTATTAGCTGTTTTAAGACATTGATAAATCGCTGGTTCAAATGCGAGGATTGCTATATTCTTATCATTATCATCTCAATCCCTTCATTTGAGCCCCACTGCATAATTACTGCCATCGTTCTCTCTATAAATGTCATTACAAGGCTCATTTCCCCCTCCCTCGGTCAGTAAAATCTTCCTGCTGTTCTGCGGTAACAGACTGGTCTGATCTCGGAGCGTTCCGTGAGTTGCTGTAAGGCACCTGGAAACGTTTTCCCTTTGGATTCAGTGTATTGCTGGTCAGTGCTGACATAAGCAGCCGCGCACCACAAGCCAAACAGCCTCCTTCTGTGCCAGGAACTGTTGAAACCAACAAACAGCAAAGACACGGCTCATTTTACACTCTTGCAAGGTTCGGCTTTTCAGGCTGGGGCTCTCGAGAACATCATACAATAACAGCTGTGTACAACCCTATAGAAAAAGCTACTTTCTCCCCAGTGTCCTGGCCAAAATCTTCACTCCGTAGCTGTTTTTCTTGTGTGAATTGGCTGCTGCATTCACCGACAAAGTACACAGTCACTGCGCGTTGCAGTAAAATGAGGGAGGGAGGGATGGAGGGAGAGGAGAGAGGGAAGGTGATCTACATCCTAGGCTGAGATCAGCTTTGACCAGGATTCGAACAACCCGACCAATTCTTACTTTCGACGCAGAATCTCGTAGGCTAGGAGGGCATTTCACAGGATTTCACTGCAAAGTGTAGTGACTGTGTATTTTGTAGGCGAAACGCGGCAGCCCGATTGATGGCGAGGCTCCAGTTTCTCGGCGTGAGTAGGCGACAGTCTGTTTACTTGAGAGTGTCTCCACAAGACGCTGTGTCAAACCAGACACAATGATCTCATGCGTCTGATGCGAGGAGGGGTGAGAGTGGGGGCAGGGAGAGAGGGGCCGGGGGGGGGGGGGGGGGGGGGAGAGGAACAGGAACCCCCTCAGACCTATGTATAAACAACCGGTTCCAAACTCGGAGCTGGAAGAGGGGCAAAAAAAAAAAAAACAGCTTTAAGAGAAGCGTCCGATTCCTGTCCTTTGCTGAGAAAGAAAGACCGAGAGCTTTGTAAATCACACTCCCCTGTCGGGTCGCTAAGTACCATGAGCAGAATGGCTTTAGCGACCGGGAAGAAGCACATACCTGGCCCAGGTACAGAGCCAGTTGCCTGCTCCACCCCCATCACACAACCCCCCCCAACCCCCGCACCACCCACCCCCAACCCCACAACCACCCCCAACCCCACACTGCAATCAATCTCCAGCGCCGGACAAACAGGCATTAAGCAAAGCCCAGCCTCGCTCTGCTCCTGCCTCCAGGCAAACGCTCGGTTCATTTTTCCATTTCGTCATTCACATACACTCTCTCTCTCTCTCTCTCTCTCTCCCTCCGCTCCCTGCTCGCTCATGCTCTCTCTCTCTCTCTCTCTCTCTCCCCTCCTCCCCTTCTCTCTCTCTCTCGCTCTCTGCCTTTTGGACTCACATAAATCAGAATAAACCATTCCGGAGAGTGGGGGTGGGGGAGAGGAGGGGAGGAAGAACGAGGCCAAAGCGGACAAAAATGGTTTCTCTCCTCAGCCTATTTTATTTGGAGGATTGTTGGCCAGGACCCCAGGAGAGAGAAACGCTCTTCTCCTTTCCAATAGCGCCGCGGGATCTTTAACGTCCACCCGAACAGACAGACGGGACCTCGGTTTAACGTCCGATCCAAAGAACGGCGCCTCCGACAACGCAACACGTCCCCCAGCGCTGCATTGGAGCGTCAGCTTAGACGATGTGATTCCAAGTCCCCGACCTGAGAGCTTGAACCCACAACCTTCTGACCCAGAGGTGACAAAGAGAGAGAGAGAGAGAGAGCGCTACCACTGAACCAGGCTAACACACAATGAAATGAGGGAAGAGGAGTGGAGGGGGGAAAGAGATAGAATGGTGGAGGAAAGGAGTTGCAGAGATTAAGAACGTAGGGACTAAAGGCTAAGGCACCAATCAGCCACTGGCTTCCCCGCTTCCTTCCCCCAGCTCAGTGATCCCCGCCACCACTGTGAAACCTTCTCAAGAGGAAGGTCACGGAGATGGTCGTTTTCACGGCACCATTAATAAGTAGCTATTTATCAGCGGCTGATGATCAGGGAGTGTTGGCTTCAGCGATTTGCTTCCTGGCCCGAACTGGTGCCACGTTGCGGCTCTCCCTGGTGCTCGCTGCTCAGCCTGACCCAATCCAAAGGCCTTCTCACGAGGCCGTTCCTCGCGGTGTAAGTAGCAAGAGGCGTGGAAGCCATTTGTCGCTGATGCGCACCTCAATCCACGGCTGTGCGCGGGACAGGGCTGTGCGCAATTGGCTGCCGCGTTTCGCCCAACGAAATACACAGCCACTCCGCCCTACGGTATATTCTGCGAAGCGCTTTGAGACGTCACGACGACGTGAAAATAATAATCATTATTATTGTAACTCGAGAGGCGAAAGATGGGCTCGGGCAAGATCGATTGGAACACCGTTCCGCTCTGAACTGCTCCCGAGATTGCTGCTCCCTCTCATTATAAAAGGAACAGAAATTGCAGCTTGGGGGGGAACAAAGGAAAAACTGCTCGGAGGTTTATTTTTAGCGAGGCCTGGCCATACATCTGCCGTGCCCGTCCGACGCGGTGTCGGAGCTGCTGATTGACAGCACCTCACTCGTGTAATGCAATTCATTAAAACATGAGATTAATAGTTACAGGATGTCCCTGGCCTGGGGGCCTGGGGCGAAAGCCATTGCCTGGTTCATGACGAACTAGATCACGGGTTCAAGTCCAGCCAGGAAATAGAGTAATAATAACAGCAATAATAATCCTTGCATTTGATATAGCGCCTTATCACGTATTTGAGACGTCTCTAACCTCTTCTCCCACCTCCCTCCCTTACTCCCGCTCTCCTCAAGCAACAAGAGCTACCAGCCTCCAAGGTGCCAACGACAAGCGAGGGAGCTTGTCAATTATCAACAGCCTGGCATCAGGCCAGCAGCACTGCTCGCTCCGTGGCCATGTCACCTTGGAAGTTAACTCAACCCCAGAGGGGCCCATGTTACCTCTCTCTCCGTCTTTTCCCCCCAAGAGTTACAGAACCTGTGCCTGGCTCTGAACGAGCTCCCTGCCTACTCCCACTCTCTCGCCTTCTGGGAATATCAAGGCATGGTAGGAGGTGCCGCCTTTTCGATAATAATACTAATCCTTGTATTTGATATAGCGCCTTATCATGTCATCGAGATACCTCACGGTACGCAGTATATAGGATATACTGTAAGGTGCAGTGTCCGTGTATTTTGTCGGTGAAACACAGCAGCTAGTTTGTGTGCAGCAAGTGTCCCACAAACAGCCGTGGAGCAATTGACCAATTTTATTGGGGGGTGGGGGTTATAGGCGTCCTGGCCGACATTTTAAGAATGTTGCTAACAAAATAGGATGGTGATTATTGACAGACAAGGTGCCTTGTGTTATTCTGTCAGCACAATATTGCTGTATGTTTATATAGCGTCAGGAGCACATTACCAGAGGACGGATCTCCAAGCCAAGGTCCTGGGATCCGAAGGTGGTGCCAAAGCCCTGATGTCATTTCAACATGACCTGCCCTACACCCCTTTTAATGTGAACACAAATCTTGCTATCTCCACGGCCTTTGTGTTACCATCGCAACATGACTTCATTCCACCAACTTAATCATTTCAAGGCAATCTCGGTGTTTCAGGTCCAGAATTGGAATCAAATGCCGGCCTGGCTTAGTTGGTAGCCCTCTCGCCTACTCTGGGTCAGATGGTTGTAGGTTGAAACCCCTTCCCCTCCTACCACCCCCACCCCACCCCACACACAGTGTCTCGGCCAGCAATGTTTGTCAGACATCGCTGTGTGCTAACTGGCATTCGCCCTCTCCTACGAAAAGCACAGTCACTACACTTTGCACTTAAATATCCCGTGAAGCACTTTGAAGACAATTCTGACATGATACGGCGCTATATCAAAAGACTATTTAAGATTATGAGTTAACATCTTAGGTCTGCGATCTTTCGGGAATGTGACGACCATTTCGTCGTACCTTAAGAATATTCCATTTGAAAACACCCGGCACAACAGATTCCGTGAAAAAACCCGGCTATCAACCAGAGCTGAGGACTGATTTCGAGGTGATGCGCTGAATTCCAGGCAAATCTCATTTTTTCCATGACTTAGCCACTTCAATCAACGCCATCTCAGGAATGAGACGAGATCCCATCTCATGTCCCCAACCTTGTAACCCCAACAAGATTTCAGGTCTCAGAGGAATTTGAATCCGATCCTCCCCCGACCCCCCGCTTAAAATCTCCGGGTTCAGATCTTGGGACCTGGGATTT